ATTCAGAAGGACTGGACAATAAACCGTACTTTTACTATGTTCAACTTTGTCAAAAATAAAAGCATACAAATGTTTTTTAATTACAATAAACCTAAATAGACCGCCTGTACTCTAACGCTGGCAACCACGGCAACTCCACCGCTAACCAAAACCTTAACCGTTAGCTTACAATTATTAGTGGAAAATTACCGATCAACATACTATTAACAATGAAAATAACATCACATGTTGATAAAACACTCAATAATAGCCTTACATTGAATTATGTGGGTAGTTTTTACCGTGTACTAACCTGCAATATAATAATAATAATGAAAAAAAGGAAGACGCGAAGCGTTCTCTTCTGTGTCCAGATTGCGTTTAAGGCGAACCGGAAGTTGCGCCGTAAATCCAACCTGGGGCGACGCCTCTCGCACAAAGGTTCCGCGTTAATAATCTATCTCTAATTCCTTAACAAAACAGGTTAGTACTTAATATTAGTATTAATGACATTCAACAAGTTTCGGCATTACTTTACCCCCCAACAAAATTTAAAACATATTCATTTGTGAATTAAAGACCAAAATACCAAAAGAACAAGGAAACAATGTGGTGATAACTTAAGGTGCACCACACATCCCTATTTAATATTACAGTTGAGAATGCATTTAGGGTTAGTACGACACCAACTGAAAATGATATTGGTCATGAAAGGTCATTGTTTGTCTGTAAATTCAGACTGAAACTGCATACAGGTCTAAGTGTTTTGTGTGGCCAGGCAGGATTATTGTGTCCTATTTAAGCACAGTATTTAACAGACATTTAACATTTAATCTGGAGTAAAAACCCACAGCAGGAGCGTGCAAACTGTGAAGTGCCACTAGACAAGTTTAGAGAGGGCCGCATAGAAACATAGTTGATGTGGAGCCCATCAGCGAATCATTTAGGTGATACATTTTACACAGCTTTCACATGCCACCATATCTATAATCTAAAATTAATCTTAGGTCTGTATCACAATGTAGCCACTGCCTGTCTAACAAGTGGGCCAATAAAGTGGTTTGAGGGCCACATTTGGTCCTCGAGCCATAGTTTAAATACCCCCAGTGGTGGAAGAAGTATCAGTTTTGTTACTTAAGTAAAATTAAAGATAACGGAGCAAAAAATACATAAGTAAAAGTATCACATGATAAAATCTACTAAAGCAAAAGTATCAAAGTACTGTTTAAAATTGTACTTAAAAATAAAAGTAACACTATTTCACGCAGGTTCTGAGATCTAATAAAGCTTCAAATGAATAGATTTTGATAAAGATTGTTGTATGTTACCTCAGCCCTGTGTTCCCTCAGCCCTATGTTTCTTAAAGATTTTTCTTATCTCTAAAACTTTTTCTCAAGATTAAACTCTAAGTCAAGTCATTTTTATTTTCATACCACATTTAAAGGGAGGATAGTCAACTGCTGCTGGATTATAGGTCATGTGTCACTGAAATGGGGATAAAATCTGATGCAAATTTATGATCAAGGAAATCTGGGAACATAGATTTGGAAAAATTTGGAAAGAAAAAAAAAGACCTTAGAAATGAGGGAACATAGGACTGAGGGAACATACAGTATATAGGCACGCTCCCATTTTCTTTGCTCAAATGATAAACCTCATAAAAATAAACCCCACAGCCTTTCCAGCAGATCTAAAAAAAAAAACATTACATTTTTAGTCCTGTTCAAAAATATAATGGAGTACAAAGTACAGGTACCTTCTCTCAAATGTACACTACTGGTCAAAAGATTTAGAACACCACACTTTTTTCAGTTTTTTACGTTTACTGTTGACCAAAACATATTCTAAACTTTTGATTCATGAAAGCGTCCACCTTTGGCAGATATAACAGCTGGATACAATAGAAATCAAATATTCTTCAGAAAGTTCTTCCCAAGTCTGTTGCAGAAGTTTCCATAAATGTGTAGCACTTGTAGGTTGTTTGGCTTTTACTCTTCTGTCCAGTTCATCCCAAACCAGCTCGACGGGGTTTAAGTCTGAGACTGTGCTGGACACTCCATGTTTTCAAGTTTACCATCTTGTACTTTTTTCCTCAGGTAGTTTTAGCACTTGTGTTTTGTTATCTTTTTTCTTTATTATTATTATTATTTTTTTTTAAACCTCCTTCTGTTCAGTTCTTACCTTTGTACCATTTCAAGATAATCATTGGACTTGCACGACTTGAATTGCAATAAATAACTGAAAAAAAATGAGGGTGTTCTAAAACTTTTGACCAGTCGTGTAGTGAAGTAAAAGGAAAAAAGTATGGACTCAAGTAAAGTACAGACACCTCAAACGTGTACTACATTACTTTCCAACATTACCTGACCCACAGTGACGCCATCCCCAAACGTGACCCCCCTCTCTCTCTCGCTTTCTCTCTCGTGCTTCCTGCTCGGTCACCCGTCTCCCGTTCACCCGGTGCCTCTGACGCCTCTGGTCCCCGGGGCCACGCCCTGCTGCGGCTCGGCGCTGTGAGCTCTCTGCGGCCTCCTGCTCCTGCTCCATCAATACGCGCGGGTTTCAGAGGTCACCGGTTCAAACACAGTTCAACTCATCAGCCGACCGCCTGAGATCATGGAGTCAAGCATCACGTATTAAAGCCTGTAGAAGTAAGTGAAGAAGAAGGTGTTTTTATTTATTTATCTATCAATTCAACCTTTATTGACTATTCATCACTCCGGACATTGTAACTGTAGCCTCGTGCCAAATACGTGTTAATAATTTTCTCTGTTTGATGCTTCCTGAAAAGAGTCAAGTGTAAGAAATGCATTCAAATATATTCAACATGTTTTATACTTACTTTATACTTAAAAACATATCATCTTTGTCTTTGCAGTAATAAAATACATAGCAGGGGAAAAAACGTGGTTAAAATAACAGGAAGTAGGTTAAACGAGTCTCTGCGGTTTTGTGGTTTATGTGGCCATCTAGTGGACTTTAGCAATAACTCAGTGTGGAAACTGAAAGGTTAAAAATAAGGATTGAACTACTGAAGTCATTTGTAATCTGTTGAGCCTACTGTCTAATGTACAGTAAAAACAAAACAAAAACAAAACAGAGTGCTAAGTCTTCTAGATTGCATTGATTACTTTATATTTTATTTAACCATCTTCAGTTAGTCCTCAAAATTAAAGGTGCACTGCGAAACATTTCTAGTGGAGGGTCCGCCACCTGCTTATCGCTATGAAAATGTTATTGCTTTGTCTAGAATGGACTCAGTTACAGCACAGGCCATATTTACAAGACTTACAGGGCTACATTGTGATTTATAGCCTATATATTAAAAAAAAGTAGTCTGAGAATATGTTTGACTATCAATGTAAAACTGGCAATTGAATACAAATGATCTACTCCCAAAATAGCTGTAAACAAAACAGTTCATAACATTCCGTTTGAAGCTATACACCCAATATAGGAAAGGATGTACCTTCTAGGGCAGGGGTGTCAAACTCATTTTGGTCCGGGGGCCGTATCCAACCGACTTTGATCCCAAAGGGGCCGGATCAGAAACTCATGTCATATAAACCCCTAAAATAACCAAAATAACTTCAAATATTTGTGCAGAGAAACGCAAATCTATTACAGAAATCTTTTTTAATTGATGAACTCTTTCTTTTACAAAATATTATAATATTATGAACAACCTGAAACTTGAAGAAAAAAGGAAGGAGTCAATTTTTCTTGTAAAATCCTGCACTCGGCTGCACTTTTCTCATGTTGGACATTTTTCTGATGAGGGTGTCACGGTCAACAGTCAAAACGATCGTTCTTTAAGAGCGTTTTGAAAGAGACAAGTCATTTGTGCTGCTCTGGTGGGAGGGTCACGTACAGAGACGCTGGAGACGCTGCTGTGATAAACACCACAGAAAATTAACAAGATTTTAATAGAAAATATAATTAAACTATTTTAGTAGAAAATCACCCAAGGGCCACATTAAAGGTCTTGGAGGGCCGGATCTGGCCCCCGGGCCTTATGTTTGACACCTGTGTTCTAGGGACTGTGTGTGATTCTGAGGTGGATGGGTATTTTCAGTCCAGAGCTGTTTTTGATGAGTGAAAAAATGTTTCATCACTTATTGACAATGTGTATGTGGTTTTTCTAGTGTATGCTTTCTGCCTTCTGCTGCAGGCCTCTGTGGTGTGAGGGCCCGGATGGGAGGAGTGCCTTTCCTGAGGTGCAGAAGTTAGGGTTACATACACACAGCTGAAAGTTAAGGAAATAGCAAAGAAAAATAATGTCATGGAGACTAATGATATAAGGCAGATATCATTAAGATGCTTCTGTTGGAATTTTGAACCATGTATGCAGCAGGCCTGTGCAATGAAAAATACAACTATAATCAATATAGTTGCAGTTGCATTTATTCAGTAACAGATTTTAATGCTGAAAAGATACCTTGAAAAACATGTTTTACTGTGGGCGGCCTTGACTAGTGTGATGATCATGTCTCTGTAAAGACATTTTAGACGTTATATGGTGCAATTTATTCAAAAGAGTATTAAAAGAGAGTAATAGCTCTGTAGCAAATCTATGTACTTTTCCTTCAAAATATACACAATACTCAAAGGTTTACTGTGCAACATTTCTACTGGATGGCCTTTTACCTACTTGTCTCCATGGAGATTTTATTGCTTTGCCTGGAATGTTCCACCGTATGACTTTATACATATCCATCTAACCATCTAACGTTTATTCATTACGATTATTTCTGTAATTTTTTTTTTTATTCCTTATGTCTGAATTGTAATGTAGTGTAGTGCTGTAACCTGCTTGTCTCCCTTGTGATAATCTACAATGCGGAAAATTCTAAGCAAAGCAATAACATTTCCATGGAGACAAGCAGGTCGAAATGCAGAAATGAAACGAGAAATGTTACGCAGTGCGCCTTTAAAGAGTAATTACTTTCACAAAAACAAAAACTCACACGCGAGTGCAATTTCCAATATCTTTATTCAAATATTTACAGACAAATGGGGAACATCTTTATACATTTATTTTTTAAATTACATTTTAAAAGTGTGTACGGGTGTGGAAACTGGACAGTGTGCACTTTACCCTGAACTACAGAAAATTCCTGGATGAAGTCATACAAAGTGAGTTTCTTGTTGAAGGTAGCCATTTTACTCCTGAGGATAGTGGGGAAAGTGACTCAGGTTTGGACTTTTTGGTTAATTTCATTTTCTATTTATCTCAAAGCTGCAAAACAGGTATACGTTGGATTTTTGACTGTGGGGATCTCCTGAGTAAAATAATACACAAAAACGGATTTACAAGATGGTGTTTTGTTTTAAAGATCCTATGACAGGTTGGACAACACATCTCACCAAAACAAGGTTAAGATTTTACTAAAGATTTTACTTTTCTTCTCCCAATTTGGCATTTTTTTTTTAGGTTTAAAATTTTACTTCTTGGTTGGAAATCGTGACATCACACTAGGGAATTTCATCACTGTTCCCAGTAACCATAATGTACATTGGGTCAAAACTGCTCTAAAGTACACAGAAATTCTAAAATTACATTAAAAACACACAAGAAAACACCATTATTGTGTTGAAATAATGTTAGAAGAAAAAACAAATTCTTGTGTGTAAATTGTGACAAACTTTTTGGATAGAATTCTCCCTAGTGTGATGTCAACAATATGCACTTCTTCTCAAACTGCTTCTTGAGTCGTGTAAAACTATAATTTATATTTACAACAGGTATCATCCCACCAAATTAAGCAGAAATTAGATAATCATAAAAACCTGTCATACGCACTTTAAATAAATTGGGCACAGAAACAGCCGTCTTTTCAGTTTGTGTGCATGTGCAGGGGAACAGATCAGCAGAAGCGTGGGGTGGGGTCACTCAGGGCGACAGAAGCTAAAACCCTCCCTTTGCATTAACCACAGAGCAGAGACTTCCCATATTCACTTCAAACATGCGTAAATTCAGAATACAGGAAATTCTGTTTTTCTCATGTACTCTGGAAAGCAAAGACTGCATTTATAACTTGAAATTATATAATAAGTTTTGAACACACTGCATTCAACACACAGAGAAACTGATTTTGAGCATTGTGCTTCTTTTACTTTTTAGATAACCCAATGTCCTGTCTGTCATTATTTCATCTTGTATAGAGCTGAGATATATTTGTATTACTGTATTACTGTATTTCTGTATTTTATTTTTACTTGTGCATATACATTTATATAATTATGCCTTGTTTGACACCAGTCTCTTGCTATTTTTGTTTATTTATTAGTTTGTTTATTTTTTATTAATTTTTACTATATATATTTTTGCTCTTTGATATTATATTATATTGTGTGAGCAACTGTGTCCATATTTTTCACTGTGTACTGAATCTAATACTTACATTTATGTAAAAAACGAAAAGCCAATATTACAAAAAAATGATTCTTATAAGCTTTAAGTCATGTTATAATGTTGTTTACCTCATCAAAAACATACCCGGAGCTGTGTGTCTACATCTCCAATGCTCAAAATGTTCTGTTTTACCTTGTGATGTCATGTAGTGGTAGTTTTCAAGTTATCAGCTCCGTTTTATCTTTAGTTCAGCCGAGATAGGTAAGTCCAGGGCTGAAATCATCCAAATGATTCTAGTGAAGGTGTACGGACTTTAAAAACGCAGAGGAGCACTTATTACCTAATGACATCACAAGGTGGAAAAGAGTGTTTTGTTTGACAGAAGAACTCAGCCTAAATATTCAGGATTTGTGTGTTAAACAAGTGTGAATGTGTGTGTGTGTGTGTGTGTGTGTGCATGTGTGTGGATGTGCTTGTGTTTGAGTGTATGTGGATTTACTTAATATATCGGGCTATGTGTGTATGTAGCAAATATATGATTATGTAAGTGTGTGGGTGTCTATTATTATTTATTCGCGTGCGTGTGTGTATGTGTGCGTGTGTGTATGTGTATGTGTATATACACGTGCACATATACACAGAGATGAGTGCATGTGTACATGTGTGCACATTTATGGGTGTGTGCTTATGTGTGTGCATTCATGTGTATGTATGCATATGTATGTAATTTGTATATATAGTTAGTTTTTGTATTATTAATATAATAATTTTTACTTTATCCTTCATTATTATTTTCTGGTCAGTATTACTTTTATTATTGTATTTCTATTTGTGTTTTGGGAATGGGGAGGAAGTGGGTTAAATGTGGCATTGGTGGCCATCTGTGGCATTATTGTGTGACCGTAAGACCACAATATTGGGGAAAAAATAAAAAATAAAATATATATGACAAAAAAGAAAAAAAAAAGTGTGAATGAAAAAAAAAAAAACACAAGTCCAGGTCTGATTTTGATAAGAAACAACATTATAACAGAGATCAGAAAATAGTGTAATATAGTTCCTTAATATCTGTGTTTCAATTTCATATCTACTAACAAGCATGATGACAATATTTAGGTATGGTCGTTTTTGATTTTAGTTTCTTTGTTTTTACTATTTAGTTTCACACATTGTGCAAATATAAAGCAAATATAAATTAGTTCAGATTCAGACTGATGCAATCTTGCAACATCGGCTGTACTGTCTCTTTTATAATTTTGATGTAAAAGTTCATGTTTTAGAACTAGCTACTAAAATATTTCGCAAACAAACTTTTCATGTTGTCTTTTTTAAAATGAATGAGTTGGAATAGTTAGATGTCACTCACTTTTTTCAGTCAAGATGCAACTTTAAAAAAAAAAAACTGGGGCTATCAGCAGAGGACACATTACTGCTAAAACATCGGGGGTTATACGCGTTTGGGATTTATATATTAATTTACAGTCACTCCAATTTGAAGTTGGATAAGATACATTTAGCATTAGCCGCACACACTTGCAAACATATGTACACATCTTATATTTTACAGGAAATCACAAAAATACATGAAAGATCGTGAGTCAGTAAAAAGCTCTCTGACTTCTTTTAGTGGACCCCCTTAAACCCCTTAAAGTCAGTGGTGTACAACGTGATGTTTTCATGTGCCCTGGGACCTCCCCTTTACATTAGAAACATTTAAACTGAAAGCCTGAGTGTCACTGACATCACTGTAACTGTTTCAAAGGTCCTACGAGAATTTGTGGTTAAAAAATGAACCCATGTATGACACAATAAGTAAATGATAGAAGTATTTTGCTTATACCCTGCAGAACTAACACTGAAAACAGTACCCAACATCCAACCCGGCGTAGCATTATGACCACTCACCAGACATCAAGTTAAAGATGTACTACGTAACTTTCTACACGCAGATGTCATTGCTTTGTCTGGAATGTTTCACACTATGACAAGAAATAAAATCTCCATATTCTTGGGTTTCAGCATTTTGAGCATTCATAAGATAATATGTTTACATATTATTAGTTAAATTGTTATTTGCTATGGAAATCGTGTAACATTTTTCATCGCTCCATAGAAAAGTTACTGGTTAGAAGAGGTGGGACCAAGTCATTGTTTTGCATGTCTCAAGTAAGTCTCAAGTCTTTGACCTCAAGCCCGAGTCAAGTTCCAACTCAAATACAGGCAAGTCCAAGTCGAGTCTTGAGTCACTGGCTCATAAGTCCAAGTCAAGTCCAAGTCGTCTGTTTGGGCTTCAAGTCATTTCAAGTCTTTAAACCAATGTACCAAATACAGCTTAGATTTTTGCGATTTATATGAATTTGAAACTAAATCGTACTTAAAATATCATAGTTATTTATATATGAGTATTTCTATAAGAGTTATAGAGATGCTAATTGACAAGATCTTAGTGTGAATCATTACGATGAGAATAGAAAGAATTCAGATTTAAAAGTGCCTTTCAAGTCTTCTCAAGTCCCAAGTCAGTGACCTTCAAGTCCAAGTCGAGTCCCAAGTCTTAGTCCATTTTATCAAGTCAAGTCTCAAGTCCTAAAAATAGTGACTCAAGTCTGACTCGAGTCCAAGTCACGACTTGCAAGTCCCCACCTCTGCTGATCAGATCTATGGGGATGCGGCAGTGCTTTTCAGGATATTTTATTTAGAGCAATAAAAACTGCCAAGGCAAAGCAATAATATTTCCATGAATACAAGCAGATGGCAGGCCTCTCTAAAGTTACACAGTGTGCCATTAATGTTCTGTCAATATAATGTCCTATAAGCAAGAAAATTATATTTTTGTGGGGGTGAAAGTGACTCACTGGGGTTAGTGATCACCTTATAACCAGTACTGTTTTTATGAGCAAGATTGGTGATTGCGGTGACTTTTGAAATATGTGTGCAGAGAGGTGTGCAGAAATATGTGTGGAGAGAGGAGTGAGGTGTGGGAGGGTTTTGTTTTTGATTTGTTTTTTTGTTTTTAGTTTGATTGGAGAAGCCATTGGAGCAGATTGGCTGACACGTACACCGGGGCAGCTGTGGTTTCAATATGAGAATGAATAGGTGGATAAACTAGAACACGCAAAATGTAACTTTTTCATGGGCAGGTGGTCATAATCTTAAACCTGGAGCGGACTGTGTAAACAAACTAAGTAGTTGTGGGTGTGTTTTTTTTCCTTTTCTTTTTTGGTGGGCGGTCTGGGCAGTCTTGACATCAAACAATTGAAGGGCAAATGTTTAGGAAGACCAAGCGAAATCCCCGTTCTATAGTCCTTGTACAGTCTCTCAGTGTGCCATGGTAGTTCAGGTCTCTTCTATGTACAACAAGCATCTCTGGTGTGAAACGTGTGCGTTGTCACTTGCAAAAATATATCTTCATATTTTTTGCCTCCAAAAATTACAGATAAACAATATAAATCAATATGTTACAAGAAGGACTGAAAACATTGTATAGGCTATGCTAACGTAAAGTGCTATATACTTTTCAACAGGCCGCAAGCATAAAGGTATATCTGGCTAAAAAGGTCCACCTATTTTTAAAGATTAGCTAAGGAGCCCTTTCCTGTAGGGCTGCTCAAACTGGCATTTACTTTCACTTTCACTTTGTTACTTCTGCTGTTGTCGAGAGGAATGTTAAACTGTTGTTACAAACTTTTTCCGTAGATAAATAAGCAAACTGGCATTTTTTCTCATTTGAATAATTTTAAATGGGCTCTATATATTATAATAATTGAGTAATCTGAAAATATGGAATAAACTACATGGTAATAACAGTCTTGTATATAAACGGTGTAGATTTTCAAAAAACCATACTTAAGAATTACCATTGGTTATGCCATGGGAAATTGAGACAATACTAAAATTTGGTGTTGATACAGGATTTCATTTCCAATAAACATATAATCCAATAAAAATGTTTTTGCCTGTTACAAAATTATAACACGCAAACCTGAAAGCCAGTTCACTGTCCTTGGCACTTACTGCACTGGCTCTTCTGCAAAATGTTTTTAAAGTGAAACATAGAAAACTCTAGCTGCGTTAAAGCTAAGTCGTGACACTTCTGCTCTCCCTGATCTTTTAAATAATGTTGAAAGTTTCATTTTCATTCACAATTTTTCATACGCTGTTAAACAATCTAGATACAAGATACAATAAAATACTAGGAGAAAAGGCTTTCAGAACATTTCTGTAAAATGTAAAATGCATAATTGACAGTGATGGGAAGATACTTTGAAAATCTATTTAAAATGTATTCTGTAATGTAGTCTGTTACTTGGTCCAATCAGAGTACTGTATTCTGCTTGAAATACTTACATCAAGTTGCATTCAAATTGTAGTAAATACATAACATGGGATTAAAAAGAGTTTGTTCGTCTGACCGTTTGTTATGCATTTACTTATCACTAATTGGTCAAAGAAAAATCACACATGCGCTCACCACAAGGTCAGTGTTTTCTATTTCTCTCACTGATTCTGTACAGTTTCAAGCCTAAGTTGTGTCATCAAATATCATAATATATTCCTCTGAATTTAGAAAAGTATACAGTGCAGTTACAGTTACTCAGAATTAGTATTCAAGTATTTAAGTTACTTCCCAACACTGATAATTGATAAACATTGTACATATACTACATATAGAAAAGCTATTATGCCGTTGCACTATTAATTTCTGTTGAACTTCGGAATGGAAACATTGTACTAAAACACAATGTGCATGATCTGCAATATATTTGTAGTCACTGTATATTTCACAGTCATATTCTGACAACCATAACTCCCAGTATTTACCATATTTTGTTGATTTTTATTTTTTTTTACAGTGTACCGAGCCCCTTAACTTTTTTAAATAGAAACCTTAGCTACAAAGACTTTGAAGCAGTAAGACTATACCTGAAACCGCCTGTAACCACGCAACAACATTCAAAACAGCAGCGTCTACCATACCAAACGTGCAAAGCAACCTCCAGAACGAATTTAAGTCCACTTTCCTCAAGCAAATAGAAATATTTCGATACCGCATCCTCTCCTTAAAAACCACGATTTGTTGATCTCTGTGGTCCTGTAGGTCTTTTCTCATGACCCGCCTGCCTGTGTCTTCTTATATAGTGTGTAGGACAGGTGCGTGTGTGTTGCCATAGCGATCAGATCTTGCTGTTTTCCAGGTGGGAGTCGATGTGCTTGATCAGCGCGTCGTCCGGGTAACCCACGGGGAAGATCAGCTGACACAGGGGGCAGCTCCGCATGTCGCTCTCCTCGGTTTCCATCCACAACTGAAACAAAAAATACAAGTACAGTAAATAAATACACTATATCTAACACACACACTCGCAGCGTAGTGCTAGTGGTTGTAGCATTACTCATTCAGTGGGCGGAAACAGCGGAGAGTTCCCACTTCACACCTTTATGACACTTTGCGATAAATATTCCTGATTAATTCAAGAGACAGCTTCTGGTCATTTAAGGACTGTAATTAGGAAATGGTGGTTCTTGATAAACACTTCTAAAATGCTGATTCTGTGGGTGTGAAGTTTCCTGTTTTAGCAAGTGCCACTTAAAGTCCTTTAGTCTAAACCTGAGCTTATTTTTACTAAGAAGAACCTTTACATGTATTCAAGACTAACTAACTATGAGGGTAGATTTTCATTTTGATGACTAATGTATTAATTATGATTAGTTATTGGGTGACCATCTTGAATAGCAATAAAAGTACAACAATTTGTGCAAAGTGAAAGACATGATAGAAAGAACACAACAAATTTAAAGATCCTATATTAAGCAAAATTTTGTGAGATTTAAGCCATGTAATAATGTTATCCCCTTCTCAAAAATAGACCTGGTTGTGTTTTGTTTCATTCACACATGTTTGAGTGGGCCTGCCACACCACAGTCTTTGCGTGTCTCCATGGAAACAGAAATACTATGGAACATTCTAGTCAAAACATCTGAGTGGAGACTAGCAGACGCTGAACCCTCCCACATGAAAAGTTACGTCAGACAGTGAGATACAGGACTACATTCATACCAACTGTACAACAACTCACCCTTATGTAATAGAAAACCCTGTCAATCACTATTTAGTAGGGATGTAACAATAACCGAAATATCGTGATATCGTTACGTCAAAGTTCTCACAATAATATCGTGGACCATCACAATATATTGAATTACAAGTCTCTGCTTAAGTTAAGAGTTATGGTGCAGCAATAGCTAAAAAAAGACAGAGGGAACTACATAGACCATGATCCTTTGTTCCATTTCAGTGCAGACTACAAGAAGAAATAACAGTTCTAAGCACTTTTAAGTCTTAGTTCTTTGGATAGTTTTGTCAAGGCATTTTAAGAGGAAAAAGTATCATATTAACAGCCTCCACAAAATATCGCAAATATCGTACCGTGACATGTATATTGTAAAAATATTGTATCATGACACTTGGATATCATTACACCCCTAATATTTAGTCTTTGCACTGTTTCTCCTTACAACTATACAACCATATATTTCTATAATTACATTTTTCTTGTGCATATACAACACTTGTGGCTTTTTTTTGCTCTTTGTTCTTATATTATATTGTGATGTGTGAGCTACTGTGTTCAAATAATTTCCCTTGTGGATCAATAAAGTTTGACTAAATCTAAGTCCAAAGGTGGGATTAAGTCGTCGTTTTGGAAGTCTCTAGTAAGTCTCAAGTCTTTGACCTCAAGTCAGAGTCAAGTCCAAGTTGAGTCTCGAGTCATTGTCCCTTAAATCCAAGTCAAGGCCAAGTCGTCTGCTTTGAGTTTCAAGTTATTTCAGGTCTTTAAACCAAAGTACCAAATAGAGCTTAGCTTATTTTTGCAATTTATATGAATTAATTTTTACTAAATTATACTTGAAAAATCATGGTATATTTATATATGAGTATTTATAGACTATATAAGAATTGCAGAAATGCAAATTTTTCCTTTTTAAATGTCTTGACAAGATCTTAGTGTAAATCATTACAGTCAGAATAGAAAGAATTCAGATTTAAAAGTGCTTCTCAAATCTTGCCAAGTCACAGGCCTCAAGTCCGAGTCAAGTCTCAAGTTAGTAACCTTCAAGTCTAAATCAAGTCCCAAGTCTTAGTCCATTTATCAAGTTAAGTCTCAAGTCCTAAAAATAGTGACTCAAGTCTGACTCGAGTCCAAATCACAACTTGCAAGTCTATTCCAAGCAACTTAACTAGTAGACATCTCGCACTCACATTGATGGAGGGCCATGACTGGGCGTGCTCTGCAGATATGTATCCCTGCGGGTGACAGCTGAGGGTGTTGGGCCTCTGGGGGATGGGGAAGGCGGTGCAGGAAGCCGGACCCCTCATGGAGCCAGGGCCCACGGTGGGACTGAGCACGCCCAGAGTACGCGGCGGGCTGATGGGCTGAGTCCACTCCTCCTCATCCTCGGATGACTGCGGGGGCTGGGGGGCAGGCGAGGAGGGGGGAGGAGGCTCAAAATGTAAGTGCGCCACCTCCGAGAGCGGAAAGGGCATCTCCCTGGAGTGACGCAGAGACGCTTCTCCCAGCGGTCCGTCCGACAGTGGGCTCTGGATGGGCGACGTGGGGCTGCGCAGCTGGTGTCCGCTATGGGAGGAGCTTAAAGACGACTGTTTGGGGTAGCTCTCGATGTACGGGCGAGGCTTGGGCAGAGTGGACACTGGATCTAAAGAGAACCTTGGCGGGCAGTGGTACGCAGAGGGGTCGGTCACTTCCGAATAGCTGCGCCGCCCCTGGAAACTGGCGCGGAGGTGCTGGGAAGCGGGGCGGCAGGAGTAGGAGGCGGGGCCATGATCACTGACATCCAGCAGGGGGGATCGGCGGTGCATGTCTGGAGACAGGCGCTGGAGGACAGGGGAGCGTCTTTGTTGTAAAGGGGAGTGAGGGGGCAGAGGGGCAGGGGAGTGCCTCTGGGAGATGGGGGAGTGTCGCTGCGAGACAGGAGAGTGGCGCTGGATGGGAGAGTGACGCTGGACTGAGGAACAGAAGACAAAAGTTTGTTAATTTTTTCCTGATTTAAATTTATATTATATCAGATAAAATAAAACAGAAACAAAAACAGTGATGATGCAAAAGGAAAATAACTCAAAAGCAAAGACTTAAAGGCACCATATGCAGCCTGCACTCTTACAGTTTTAAAAAAGGTTTTACACTCTGAACCTGGGTTGCTTGTGCCTTACTCTGCATGTAGAAGACACATACGAGTGTTTGTCATCCTTATTCTATGGACAGCATGTACTGCAGCAGCACATGCACCTATTCATGATTAGCTGCAGATGCTGGGGTTTAAGAAGCGAGGATTGACAGAAAGTGCTTTTAGGCTTAAAACAACTGGATTTCGGGACTGAACCTGGCAACCCAAATGAGAGACTCAAGTGAGGCTCAATCTGTTCTCAGCTCATCTCAAGACCAAATTATAACAGAAGCAACTTGACCATCATGTCCAACGCTTTTGTAATTAAGAATAAATCAGCACTGCAGCTGTTATTAGTTATCAGTTTACCTCCGGGTCACCGTTTGGTCATGGTTATGAAATTTAGAATCAAAATCTTACAATTCCTTTAAACACAAAAACTGAAGCAGTTATAAATAATATCTACAAAATGTCCAGTATGCTCTCACATACAGCATTCTGTACCACCCTTAATTCTGTTCAGTTTTTAGGACAATTAGATTCAGAGGTCTCTGTTCCACCTGAAAAGTTACATCAAGGACAAAAAGCTCCCTCACTCTAAAACAAAACAAAGTCAGTTCTATAACATTTAAAGCTTGCACCATTGCAACCATTTCCTTTTGTTGAGGACTTTTTGTGGTTTTTCGGTGGACAGATTTGTGCATCTTCACATCATAATACATGTTGCATTTCACACACACAATCTGACATACCATCAGTTTCATGCCAAAACAAACTGATGCAAAGAACTGATTATAAATATGCTTTCAGAATTAGACTGCTAAACTATAATGTTAAGAGATAAAATAAGATAAAATAAGATAAGATAAAATAAGTCTTTATTATCTCCAGTTATAGATGTTACAGCATCAATTCTGTTTAGAAGGGGTTGTAACAATTAATAATAATAAAAAAACAAGTTAAAACAATAAGAGTAGTTTATTTTAATAATAAACGTATGTAATAATAAACAATATGTAATAATATCCATTTAAATTTTTTTAAATCACAAAAACAGCAGTATCTGAAATGGACTATACATTTTGTTGCCTGGAAATCCAGAGTGATATTTTTATACAGATCAATATCAGTATGAATATGTAAAATATATTATTATATATTTTGTGATTTAAAAAAAAAAAAAAAAAAACTGAATTATTAAATATTACTGTCCTTATGCCTCCATTTGGTCTTGTCTGGCTTTAAGTAAACTTTTCCAGTAGAAGTCCAAGTCACATTAGAAATAATCTTGTGTGACTAGACACTGATTTACTAAGAAAATCACTGACTGATGTAGTTGCAGGTGAAGTTGGGACATCTTTACTCAATATTTTTCACTTTCTCGGTTTGAGCAGTGACAGAAACCTAAACCGGATACCCAGTAGTTAGTCTGTAGCGCTTTCTTTCAAGGTGTGTTTCCCTTAAACCAAACATGTGTATTACAGTGTTACATTCACAGTTGTTTGTGTACAGACCTGGACTGGCCTGCTCCTGAGATGCCTTCCTCAAGATCTCGGTCTGTTTGGAGCTCAGAGCCTGGAGACGACTCAGCTCCTCCGTCAGCTCTGTGTATGCCAGCGCCAGGTTCACCCTAACAACACACAGGCACAAGGTTACATGATCCATTCTATCACCGTTACCGTAGCAGTTAATAAAATAAAATATTATCTCTTCTCACTGGGAAAAGACTTTAAAATATCACCTAAACAGGAAGCTGAAATGCATGAAAACACATGAAATATGCCTGTACATTATTGTGCAATGATATGATTCGCACTTATTTTATTTTTACAATGCACAAAAACAAGATATATAAGATATAATGTGTCATTTTGACATGCCTCTAAAAGTGGCACATTAGTCCTGTGGCTTTAAAGCAGCTTTGTTTGTGTACAAGTCTCTCCATGGCCAGTGATGGGAAGAATACTTTGAAAATGCATTTAGTGATAAAATACTGAATGCCTAAATTAAAATGTATTTCGTAATCTATTCATGGGCCAGTAAGACCACTGTATTCTGAATACTTTTGCACAGAGGTGCATTATAGTTTAGTAAAAAAGAAAACTACATTATAGATAGATAATAGATTTATTTCTGTTATCCTATTTGTTTTCATGCATATGTGTCTCATTTGAGTAGGAAAAAACTGCATGCACACGCTTTGCCAGAGCTATCTGTTCTTTTTTTTTTCATCACTAATAATTTGCAGTTCAAAGCCAAAATTACATGCTGAAGTACCATCATGTATTTCTTTTAATTTCATTAAGCAACTGTATTCTGAATACAATAAGATGAGAAAAAACTGCACCAGAATACAGGTACTCAACATTAGTATTCAGAATATGTATTTTCAGTACATGTACCGTCCAGGGTCTATAGCAAAATCACGAGCTACTGAGTTATTGTTTCTCCTTATGACCTCTTATATATATTTGTATTACTACATTTCTATATTTTATTTTTACTTGTGCATATACATTATTTGACAACTAGTCTCTTGCTATTTTTACTACTTATTTTGAATCTATTATTACCATTTATATTTTTTCTCTTTGTTATTATATTGTGATGTGTGAGCCACTATGTCCAAATAATTTCCCTTGTGGATCAATAAAGTTTGTCTAAAGAACCTGTCATGACCAGTATGCATCTATAACATGCAATATAACCTGTGTACACTGAGCTGTTTCACAAATCATCACTTCATCTTCTGAATGACTCTTCTGAGCTTCACCTCCCCACACCGCCTGTCTAATTGAGGAGCCCATATTCTCCTAGTATTTTTAGCGTTGCCACGGTCACACTGCATAATTGCAGTTTATAAAATCGCACCATTTCATGCAAGATGTGCCCCCGACTTCCTCCCAGGGGCCGTACTGACAGAGCAAGTCTATTTTTAAAAGGGGCATAAACAACGCATGTTTTTATCTTATACGAGGCTTGAGTGTGTCGTGGCCATGGCAACGGATGACTTTTTTGTCTCAAGTCATTAGCTTGAGAATAGGAGCTAATAATGTAATCATGCTAATGCTACAAAAGGCTGTAATCCGGTGCATCTGTAATGAGTGAGCAGGGACTTTTGTAATAACGCTAAGGATGCTCTGGTATATGTTTACATAAAGAGGCATAAATAATAATTAAAAATACTATTAATTACTGAGAATGCCCAAATTGGATGGAAACACTGCAAGCATAGGCAAGTTGATTTGTACAAAGTCATTCAAAGTGCTTTACAGAATAAGAAATGCATAAAAATCACGCATAAATGTTGCTTATATCTGGTTGAAAAACTCCTCCTACTTTTCAAGATTACCTCAGAAACTCTTTTCTGCAGAGTTACTCAGAGTGATAGTTTCATATTAGTGCAGCTGTGTACCTACCTCTCCTTCCCTTGGCTTTTGAGTAAATAAAGTTGTCAACACCTTATACTAACTGAAAGCATGAAAATGTCTTAATCTTAACAAACAAATGACAACAAAAGAATGATTCAGACTTATTGTTATTGCTAAATTAATTCCTTAACCCTGAATCATTCTTTATAAACTATTTGCCATGTATAAATGCTTTGTTTGTGTCTTATTATGGGTAATAAATGAATCACTGTGTATTTATATCTGTCTTAAAGGTGCACTGTGTAACTTTTCCGGTGGAGGGTCCATCATCTGCTTCTCTAAATGGAGATGTGTCTAGAATGTTCCACCATATAGTAAATATACAAATCTCCATGGAGACTTGCAAGCCAAATTACAGGTGAGTTTTGCGGAAGGGCAAAACCACTCACAGGAAGTATGAATGTTTTTTGTTTTTGTTGGTTTTTTTTTTAGATATTTTTGAGCAGTGAATAACACATATAGTTGGATAAATGCCAGACAGATTAGTTTAATACCATCCTGTGGACAATATCTCCATGGAGACAAACAGGTTGTCGGTCCTCTCCAGAAAAGTGACATGAAATTAAATTAATTATAATCAGCTCTGTTCATGTGTATGTAAAATAACGAAAGTGTATCAAAGTTTTGGTAAATTTTTGTCATAGATGTTCACCTTTAGGCCATGGAACAAGAATTTTCCAGTAGCCTACACTTTTTATTATATTATCTAGTTGATCAGTCTTACATGCAAATGAGTTAGTTTTCTGGGGTTTTGATCAATAAATGATAACTTAATTTAGGTAAAATATACAATCATATGTACTGTAACTTTTTACAGTTATGGAACCACAGCTCTGATCTGCAGTGTAACGCAGTAGCTCTATAAACATTGATAAAGCAAGATAAGTTTGCAGATATAGTATAGTTGTATGTGGTTTAGAGCTGAATGTTGAAATACTGAGAAACACAGGGAGATGCGAAAATAGGAAGTCAAAGTCAGCCTGCAACCTCAGATAATCTTATCTCAAATGTCTACCCAATTTTCTATAAACCATCCACTCACTGCCTGGAATAGACTCATTTCATACCTAGATTAGAAAGTTAAATAAGAAAAGATAATGTTAAGTCTTAAAATGTAATGTTTGTTATCTCTGCACAGTAAAAATCAAAAATCCACACTGAATTGAGCTTAAAGTGTACCTGTCACAGTCTATTTTGCAGCCTTTACTCAGACCCGTTCGATAGCTAATTTGATCCCGGAACCTTCCTCTTGTTGATGGTGACAGATAAAAAATCGTAAACAATATTTCTCCTCAATCCCTGGTTTTCGCCGCAAATATACAACCGTTTATTACCCGAGCACTTCCAAAACACATAACTCCTGCCCACACCGCCGAGCACAAAATATGTTACTGCGACTTTCTCTCTTTCTGTGCATTTTTTAGTCGCTCGCATATTCTTCACCCTATGTGGGCAGGAAATAAACTGTAATTACAACGGATAATCAGACAATAATGAGAAAGCTCACTAATATAACTCCCCATACTAGGCTTTCAGTTAGGCTAGTGAAGTATAGATGATTAACAAAGTGACTGATTTAAACCCACTCAGAGACTCATGTGTGTAGGCCTTTTTGTGCTACTTACAGCTATTCATGTCCAGAATTATAAGGAAATTTAATAAGGTTGGAATACTGCTCTGTTTAGTCAACAGGTTTCAACATTTTAAGACCCTCTCATCCCTTTTCCTTAAAGTAAATTGTATTATTTATGCTTTTATATGTTTGTATTGTGGTTTTAACTCATTTTTCTTGTTACATAAAGCCTTTTGAACTACTTTGTGTACACATTGTATCTTTCTTTTTCTATATATAACAGTAGCATGCTTTACTCCTGCCACTTTAGATTTGCATTTTAGTTTTTATAGTGTATGTGTACTGAAAACGACAATTTGACAATGAAGTCGTAATATTCAAGAGATCCCATGTAAACCATTTTTTTACATTTTAATTTTTCAGCAGCAATGTGAAGTGCAAAATAGTTAAAATTAGATTTAGAACTGCAGCTGGTAGTGTTGAGGATTGTCAAGAAATGCTTCATGACGCAATATCAGATGTATGTTTTTTAATAAGTGAGTTTAGCAGAACATGGCTCCTTTAATGACATTTAAAGACATAGTTTATTCTTGGTGAGTGTGTGTGTGTGTGTGTGTTTTAAATCTCTGTTATTATTCAAAGTAACAATCAGAGCAAAAAATCAGAGCCAAATCACTGAAATGATTAATTCAAAATCACACTGTTTTCCTGTAAACTGTCAAAAAGAACCCACCAGCACATGAAGTCTTGCCCACCAGCATTTCCTGCTGTCTGACTCAGAGCCCCCTGCCTGCCTCTCCACTTCAGACATCATCCCTTTTCATTTCATTTTCTGGAGCATGCAAATCTGTAACTCTGTAATATTCATCTTGAGTTTGCACTAAGCTAACGGCATCGTAAATCCGCCCTGAAGTGATAAAGTGAATTTACGAAGCCTCTGAGAAACAACATCATTTTTTACTTGCGAATGTGGGCGTAGCATATGTTAGTCATATATTACCAAAGTGACAATAAATGTTATATAGGTTTCTTTATGCGAATGCTAAGATTCATATTTAGAGGTGGTAATGCTGTTAGTTTATAGATGTCGCCATATGTATTTACCACATTTTTTTATCTCAACTTTTTATCGTAACTTTCCTGCTGGATGTCCGCAACCTGCTTGTCTCCATGGTGATGTTACTTTCTTGCCGATTAGTCCAACTTCATGAGCCCAAAACATCTAACATTTATTTTATTACAGATTCTGGAATTGCAAAAACAAAACCAAACAGAAAAAAAAAATGAGAAAATGCTGCAGCAAACTCTTCATCAGAAAAGTTACACAGTGCACATTTAAAACTGTATCCAACCACAAAAACACGTCTATTAAGTGTCGTACTGCGGGCTCCGTCACTGATAGAGCACATACTGTACTATTCTACTGCGTATATGGGTACAGTGTAGAGTGCACTGTAAGCGTGGGCGTGATGAAAGCTTCTGTCTGATGCTGGCAAAAACACATGAGTTAAAACTAAGGAGACTGATCGTAGATAATAAGATGGTCTGATGGAAAGAGTAAATGTTTTATCATATTTGTAACATGAATAAATACATATACACATACATATACAGATCCAATATCAACAAGTGTAGTCTGTCAAACTCGTGATAAGATTCAGTAACAATATATTCTATCAATATCATTTTTGTTACCTTCACTGCAAAAACTAAAATCTATCCAAGTTAAGATTACTTATTAATTAATTTTTTTTTTTATTTTTTAGTTTTTTTTTTTTTTAATCATGATTTGAGTAAATTTCACTTGACAAGTAAAATAAGACTTTTGGTACGTAAAATATGAAAATATATCTTGCTAAAGAACAATGCTTTGCAGTAACAAACAAAATCTAATGTTGCTTGAATTAAGGAAAACACACATATTCCATCGGTAATTTTACATGTCATAGTTAATCTACTCAAATGAAGTATAATACTCGTAATTTAAGACATTTTAATTTACCTAGATATTGCTTTTTGCAGTGCAATTCTTACTCAAATATTTCAAATTGTATCCTTTATAGTTACACTAAAATGTTCTTTGCATTTGACCCATCCCTTAAATTACTGAGGCTGTAATATAGATAGGCCTATGTTACATTTTATACCACGGTTGGTAAGAATTCTAATGCCAGCTGCTGTGCATTATTTTGTATAACTGCACAAATAGTTCCAGCAACATTTAATCACTGTTCTACTATTTCACTACGGTAAGTGCATCAACATAGAACAGGTAAACAAATGAACTACTGTTAGGAGGGACTAGCTTCAACTAAAACAAGAACAACATAATGCTTTGGACATCCACAGACACTTAAAGGTTTTCAGATTTAAAAGTGAACTATTTTCAGTTCAGGCATAAGCGAATTAAACAACTCAAAACGGCATGTTAACCTGTTTAAAGACACACTACAGAAGTAATCCTTATTCATTTATATTTTACTTATATTTTATTTACCAAAAGAGTCCTAAAATTGTGCAATAAAAAAAAAAAAATACATCAAACTTTTATTACAGACTCTTGGTCCAGAATTTAATAAAAAGACAAACAAAAAACAAACGCACTCAGCAATACTCATAACAAACTGCTATAGCAATGCCTCCACAGTTGAGGCTGGTACCTCGTGGTACTGAGTTTGTCATTACTTGGGCTCATGAAAAAACTGTGCTCACAATCATTAAGGCGACAGATGAATCTGTGCATTAAACAAAGCATATTTACCTGAAAAGTTCTGATGCCTGATGATACAAACAGGTTTCGTGCACTTTCCCATCTCAGCCTTTTCAACAGAATCCTTAAGCCGTCATTATACGCCACAGTGGGTTTGCATGTGTTTGCTCTTTTGTAGTTTGATCACAGGTGTGTCGTGTATAATACAGTACGCTTTAAAAATGTGTCTTGTACAGGCACCAAACCTGCATGTGAGCGTGTTAACCTGTGCATACATCATGCACATGCACATTGTCGGCAGATGTCATCATCAGCTGACATGTCGTCTGTGATAAAATGTTTCAAATTTGTAATGTATTTGTTACGTACCGTCAAAGCATTACCACACAGTACAAACAGAAGAAACTTTACATATTTACCATCCTTAGTTTTAAGATCATTACTTTTACTGCATTATATTTTAGATCAACACCATACCGGGGACATAGATTCAGAAGTGTGTTGTGCACCATCTTTTTATAGCTTCACCTCACTGACCTACACGCGATGATTCTTAAGAGCTACAGACCACATGAAGGACTTTTCACACATTACACTCCAAAAATGACTTCTGCAAAGAGTTCTTTAAGAGAAATGCACAGAGGTGTCAAACGCTTCTATGATCAAAGACACGCACATACACCAACAATACAATGTACTTCAATATCAGAGCCTTCATAGTAGTTCCATACATGCTTTTAATCATGCTTCTACTGTGATTATGACCCCGATGACGTTCATAATTGTAATAATATTTTCTCCTGATCACTGAAGTAAAGCCATTTATTGTAAACCAGTTGAGTTTCTAAAAATGCAGAGGAGTGAGTCAGAGACAGGGGGTAGTGACATGTGGCTGCAATGTTTCAAAACTTTAGTGGTTGTGGTCTATGGGAGATTTTAGTCAAATATGAAAATAAAAGTCTGAAAATGTATCAGTTCGTAGTAATAGTGGGTTGACTTTTGGTTAAAAAACAGGGAATTCATGTTTGAGGAATTAAATACAAAAGGCTTCATGCAGCTAGCATAATTTTAGGGGGAAAAACAACAGACAAATAATTTTCACTATTTCTGATAAAACAACAACAACAAAAACATTTAAAATCAATCCCAACAGACAAATAATTTTCACTATTTCTGATAAAACAACAACAACAAAAACATTTAAAATCAATCCCACATATTTATTATGTTTAGAACTTCCAATTTGGAGCAATTTTATCAATTGAACTCAAAGTCTTGTGCAAAGTTTACCCAAATCAATTTACATCAACAACTACTTCTGATAACTTTGCCAGTTTTAGCTTTGCACAAACAGAAGAATAAATGCATAAAGGACTTAAAATTTCAGCTCCTCTTTTAAACCCAGGCCCTGCAGTTTACTCTAAATGTGCCAATTACAAGAAAAAGCTCTGCCAAAGGAAACAGAGCTGTAGGCTTGTGTGGCAGGTGTGATTGATATTTTTGACTAAAACTAAGAGGTGACCGAGGGTTGGAAAAAGTTGTAGGCATCCACAGCTCTGTCAGTGTCTGAAGTTTTAGTTTCACTTTGTGCCCATAGAAACAATTGTGGGGTTTCACTGTGTGGGAGGAACATGCCGCAGTACACTCACCTCGACACAAAAAACACCTGACTCAAATGTTCTGATTACAATTTTAAACGTAAATCTACCTGGAATTAGTAAAAATGATAAAGAAAGTGAAATAATAGAGTGATTACAATAGGTCATATCAGGTAATTTCAGATTTTTAAATGTCATCAATGTCATCAGTAGTCACAGGTCCTGCATGATACATAAATATTATCTTATTGACACAAAAAAGTAGTACAAAAAATTCTAGTCTGTCTAGGACAGTAAGGCAGTTCATATTGTGCTAACACTGCCATCTACTGTTGGGAAGAGTCACTTCCTCTGCGTTAGTTGGACATGTCAGTGCAAACAGTGAAAATGGAAAAAAAAGCAATTTAATTTCTTCAGTTCAGTTACCCCAAACATACAACATTTTTTTCTTCTCTTCTTCTCTGAATGTTCAGATTTATGTTATGAGGATTCATTAAATCAATTATGCAAATTTACATACTGACAATTTCAGTGCACAACAGATCAGAATTTTCTCACACAAAGAAAATTATTTTTTAAATGCTGAAAGTGCACTATGTAACCTTTCTGTTGGAGAGTAGAGCAGCTGCATGTAGACAACCAGGCTATGTTACTGGTCAGTTCTGTGGAGGGGCAACCTTGCTTTACAGTTGAAATACATGTTTTTCTTAAGCAATAAAATAACTGTAACTGAATAAATGTAAGACAGATAAGTACAATGCCATAATGTGGAACATTCCAGGCAGGACAATAACATCTCCATGGACACAAGTAGGTGGAGGAGACTTTACCAGAAAACGTACATAGTGGCATAGTGAAATGATATGATCTGAAAAAGGCTGAATGAAAAACACAGTTAGTTTTAAGACGTGTGGAGTAGTATTATGTCTCCAACACAACTTGGAGCTCAGTGGGCTCTATTCATGGGTTTCAAGATTCCTTTGTAATATGAATTATTTAGTGAGGACCTTCCCAAATTCAAAAGATATAATATTTTGCTTTTAATTGTGTTATTTGGAGGGCCGTTGCTATGCCAAATCTTCAATCATGAATCCTTATACCTGATATCCACGAATAGTTGACGTGAGGTGATTCTGTGTCTGTGACTGGGTAACTCATCCAACCCCACTTTGAAGCACATCTCCTCATCTCCTTTGTGATCACTTCTGACATCCTCATTCTCCATCTCTGCACTATGATCTTGTATCTATCCTCTCTTATTCAATTGCACTTTGAACCCCCGCCCCCTCCTCCCACCTACCCACAATGCACTGGTACTTACTGTTCGTCTCCCACCTTCTTTATCCACTCCACATCGCACTGCTTGCAAGGCGAAGTCATTTCCTGCAAAAGTAGAGCGTGAAATTAGATTAGTATGCAGGGCCAGGTAGGAATATTGGACACAATTTGACACCTGAAGCCTATTGAAAGAACATGGTTACGAAAGCTTGATAGGCAGAGCTTGTTTATGGCTCCACAGCTCTGATTTGTGTTTTTCTAGCTTGCGATGGTCCCTGTTTAAATACAAGCAGCACCTTTCCTGCCACACTGTTTTAAATGATTACTTTGGCCTTTTTAAGATGCAATCACAAACGCATTAGCCCTGTGTTAATCCTTAACAGTGGCATATTGGGGACCGGCAGTTTCCATTGCAGCTCAGTGCCAGCGTTAAACTGACAAGGTTAGAGGTGCATTTCCCAACAAGGACAGCTCTGTTTAACATCATCCTTGTGCTACGGTTAAACTGTCCCTCATGGGGGTGGTTTGTGTTGTAAAGTGATACAGTAGCTGTACACAAAGGGAATACACAGAGTAAATAACACATGTAGTTTAATTTCCTTAGGTTGATTGAATCCGTGTATCATTCGTTCATTCGTTTTTCAATATAAAACCAAAAATACGAAAAAAAAAAAAAAAAAAAAACAGTTTTCTTCATTATTTGTCTCCAGATCCAAAATGAAAATACGAATAATGATTAGTTTTTTTCAGTTTTCGATTTTGTGTTTCAATGAATAATGGAAAAAACGGATAACGGATAACTGTTTCTTGTTTCTGTGACTTAAACTGCAATGCCGGACTTTTATACCCCATACGGACTGAACCAGGACTAAAATGTTTTCAGTCCTGATCTGGTCCAGTCTCAGTCCTGGTCTGGTCCTGGCCTCAGTCCTGGTCTCAGTCCTGGTCCTGTTCCTGGTCTCAGTCCTGGTCCTGTTCCCGGTCTCAGTCCTGGTCTCAGTCCTGGTCTCAGGTCTGGTCTGGTCCCCGGTCTCAGGCCCGAGCTCAGTCCTTGTCCTGGTCCCAGGCTCAGTCTAGGTCTGGTCCCCGTCTAAGTCCTGGTCCTAGTCCCGGTCTGGTTCCGGTCTGGTCGAACCTGGTTTAGTCCTGGTTCAGTCGCAGTCACAGAAACGGCGGTGATCCATTTTTACCATTATTCATTTCAACACAAAATCGAAAACTGAAAAAACTAATCATTATCTGTTTTTTCATTTTGGTTTTGGAGACAAATAATGAGGAAAACAGTAGTTTTTTTTTATTTTCTTATTTTTGCTTTTATTTAAAAAAATAAATGAATAAATGATACCCGGATTTGATTGTGTTACTTTAATTGCATAAAGATTGTGGTTAAATCCAGTTTTTATCACCTTTGTCTTTTATCCAAAGTGAAACCTTTTTTACCTTTTAATAATTTTGAACAGGTCGTGCATGCTTTTATCTGGACTCATCTGGACAAATGCAACGCACTCTACACAGGAATCAACCAAAACGTACTTCATCGCTTGCAGTTAGTCCTGCTGCACGTCTTTTCACAGGGAACAAAAAGCGCGATCAGATTACCCCAATGCACCCAATACCCCAATTGCACAGGCTTCCTGTACATTTTAGAACATATTTTTAGATTGTATTATTTGTTTTTAAAGCTTTGAATGAACTGGCCCCACAACACATCTCGGACCTCCTCCAGATGTACAACCCGTGCGGTGAGGTCCGAGGGGAAGCTCCAGCTCGTGGTGCCTAAAACAAGACTTAAAACCAGGAGGGACAGGGCCTTCAAACAATGAAACACTCTGCCCCTCGACGTCCCAACAGCCCCCACAGTGGAGAGTTGTAAGTCTCGTCTTAAGACCCACTTTCATTCTTTGGCTTTTAACACCGTGTGAGTTGTGTGCTCCTCTGTGTCTTTTATTTATTTATTTTATTTATTTAGGGTTAGAGTTTATTGTTTTTATCTATTTTAATTTTTTTAGTACTGCTTTTATGTATTGATTTTATCATTTTTGTTCATTGATTTTATTATTATTATTTTATTTATTGATTCTATTTATTGAAACATAATTCTGCTGATTTATTTATTTATTTATTTTACATTGCTATGTGAAGCACTTTGGAAACTGTCTTGTTTATAAAATGTGCTATACAAATAAAGTTGGATTGAATTGGACACAAAACTGACTCTTGTGATCTTTAAACCATGTTAGAATGTTGTTACCTCCTCAGAAACATACCTGGAGTTTGTTTCATTCACTCATGTTACATCAGTGCTGAATTACTGGCCTGTTTGCATTTCCAAAGTTCAAAATGATCTACTTCATTTTTACTATTTTAAAAATGTCTAGTATCCACTTGATAAATCTCTCTCTCTCTCCCTATTTAGTTTTAATTAAAGGCTTATTTAATAATGATTGAGAAGTCATTTTACGCTTGACGCTATCTTAATGGTAGAAATTATTTGACAATAATATCCCATTAACGTGCAATAGACCTGCAACGCTATTAAAGTTTCCGACAGAAGTGATTTAGAAAAAGTGCCCTCGCAAAGCCGCCTCTGAAGGGTTCCTCTGTGATTACACACTAATGACTCAACTTGGCTAAACTCAACTTTAGTCATGTCTAAGGTATTTTCATTTACTCTCTGATTTCATAAGAAGCATCTAAATGGAATATTTCACTTAAAAATCTACAACACGTGTCAATAATCAGTCTTCTTTTATAATATGAACACTATTGGGCCACAGTAGCTTAGTTTGTAAAGTATTTTTTCACTTATTTCCACAGTTTGAATCCTGCTCTAGATCTACTGACCCACAGCTTGACGGTACGATTCCAGCTCCTACAGAATCCTGCTGTTGTGTTCTTGGGCAAGACACTAATCCACCTCACCCTCAGTATCTGCGTACACCGGCGTATAAATACGTGCGTGAATGGGTGAGTTGTTCCTCGATGTAAAGTGCCGTGAAAGCAGAAAAGCACTGCATAAAAATGTGATAATTTACCATTTATCGGGTCAGACCCAACTCTGCTTTTAACTGTAGCTCTCAGTAATCTCTAATCATCACAGTGTTGATTAATAATTCAACAATGACTTTTTAGGTTATGGTCAAAATGAATATTCAGGAGATTTAGAAGTTCTCAGATATATTTTTTACTAGCTGAGCATGATTTGAATAAAAAAAGACAAGCTGGATGTGTATCAGAAGTTCTAAATTAGACCTTTTACAATGTTCAAAGTATTTCATCTGTGTGGTTTATGCACTGACCCTTTCGCGCTGGTCATTCTGCAGTTGTCTGATCTCCTCCTTCAGTCTCTCGCACTCCGCCTTCAGCTCCTCCTCCCGCTGACACGCCCCCTGAGCCTCGTGCCGCGCCCCTTCGAGCTCCGCCTCCAGACGCTGCAGCTTCAGGTCGGAAAGCGCGTCCAAACTACGGGAGCTCTGCAGGGTCATACCGGGGCAGTCCAGCACTAAAAGAGAGCCACAGAAATCACACTAATCAATAGGAGATAACATTATAAGCACTACAGCTGCTACAGTTGAGGTGTTTTATGTAACTTTTATGGTTCGTATCCACCACCTGCTTGTTTCTCCGTTCTGCCCAGAATGTTCAACAGTATGGCATTTTGTATTCATTTAATTATTAGTTTTAGTTCTTATTACTCAAAAATACCATGAAAAAATGTGCACTGAGCTGAGTCACCTCTCCACAGATCTGACTTGCAATCTATCGAACCTTCTAGATAAAGTAATAAATATCTACAATATCTGAACACGCAAATAGAGTATCCTGAACCAAAAATGTTACATAGTGCACCTTAATAAGTAAGTAATAAATGGGCAATTACTGCATAGAAATTTTAGAGGCAACATTTACTCTTGTGAGCTTTAAGCCATGTTATAATGTTGTTGCTTCAGTAAATACACACATTTATGTTATTATGTTCTTTTTTCAGACCAAGAGTTTGTTTTCATACCTGACAGTTTCGACTGCTCACTAGTGCTCTTACTCAGAGTGGTCGCATAATGTTGCTGTGATGTGTCCAGTCAGCTGATTTAAACAGGTTTTGTCGCTCTCTTCCTACTGGTGGAGGCAGGACGACAGGGCCACCTGCAATCCCACTTCCTCAGGACAGTATCCCAGGTGTGTGAGAGTAAAAAAGCCCCTCATCCTGGTTTATGGTCCCATGGGCATGTTTCCGTATTTCAGTTGCCTCTTTAATCCAGCGATGGTGTTTGTTTTCCTCTATCCCAGTGATGTTTATTCCGTCCCAGTCCATAATGCGGTTCTCTCTTTTACAGTGGTCAGAAATGGCCGATTTGAGTTGTTCCTGTTCTGCTTTGTGTTTTGTTGCTTGCCTTCGCTGTTTCCTTGTCACATTCTGTTCCATGTTCCTTTTTCGTGTACTGAAAGAGGGACTTTTTCCTCTCACACACCTGGGATACTGTCCTGAGGAAGTGGGACTGCAGATGGCGCTGTCATCCCGCCTCCACCGGTAGGAAGACAGCGCCAACCCCTGTAAAAAAAAATCTGCTGACCGGACACGTCACAGCAACATCACATGATCACTATGAGGAAGAGTGCTAGTGAGCAGTCGAAACTGTCAGGTATGAAAACAAACTCTTGGTCTTAAAAAAGAACCTAATAACATAAAATATCAGTAGACCAAATGAACCTTATTAACTAAATACACACATGTTTGAGTAATTATTAAGAATTATTGGAGTATCTGCATCTCAAAAGCTCAAAATGCTCTGTTCCACTTTGTGATGTCATACACTGGTAGTTTTCAAGTCAACAGCTATGGTTTTATCTGTTTAGTAGAGCAATTCCAGAGCTGAAATTACCTTAATGATTCTAGTGAAGGTGTATGAAGGTTCAAAACACAGTGGAGCACTTCCTGTATTACCACATGACATTACAAGGTGGAACAGTGTTTTCAGTATGAGAGAAGAACTCTAACTTAATTATTATGAAGGATTTGTGCGTTAAATATGTGTGAATGAAACAAAACACAACTCTACTGAAGAGGAAACAACATAACATAGATGAGAAAAAAGCATAATATGAGCCCTTTAAATATGTGCAAAGATTCCTGTTTTTGCTTTAATTTCTATGCTTCCTATTGACGCCGCTGCTTCTGTTACTGTACAACAAAAGAGCTGACTTCTTCCAAGGCCAGTGTCTTTCAGCTTGTACCTGGGTGATGTGATCTGCGTGGGCACAATGATTCAGCCGCGTACACACTCCGTCCTTTAGCCAGAAAAAACACACCAATGTAGAAAAGAAACACCTTTTATTATCAACTCTCATCTATATAAGCAGAGACAGTACATACCCAGTGGTGTTTTCAAACTCTGGACAGATACTAATCAACATCATAAAGTAGCCTACGCATTTATTCATGTCTCTGAATCGATGGAACGCCTTTGCAAAATGTCTTTTCTTTGCCGTCAGTTGAGGCATCTGCTGAGGTGGCGTTGACATGTTTTCAGATTTTTTTCCATAATCCTCCCACTGCCTCAACAAGGACATAACTGTACAATGTTCTGAGAGGAGAACATGGAGTGAGCTTAGCATGTGGTGCAGAGGAGAGAGACCATGCTTTACGGTCATAGTATTGCTGACTGCGTGGAATATGTAAACAGTAACATAATTCATCAGATATGTGTCTCGTGTAGGAGGTTTTAGCTTGGGGAACAGTGGCGATCCTACACTGAGATACACTCGTTAAAGATCCTTGTGTTTTGTTTCATTCACACATGTTACTCTGTCTACATCTCTAACGCTCAAAATGCTCTGCTTTTCAAGTTAACAGTTACCTTTTACCTTTTGTTCAGTACAGATTGGCAATTTTAGGAGTGAAATTATCTAAATGATTCAACTAAAGGTGTACGGAGTTTAAAAACACAGTGGTGAGAGAAGAACTGTTTGAACTAAATATGCAGGATTTGTGTATTGTGTATTTTGATGAGGAAATATTAGCCAGGCCTCCGCTCAATTTAATTTCTCTCCAGCGACTAGGTCAGGAATCAGAATACACTAGACCAGGGGTGTCAAACTCATTTTGGTCCGGGGGCCATATCCAACCTACTTTGATCCGAAAACTCATGGAATATATACCCCAAAAATAACAATAAGTTCAAATATTTGTGCAGAGAAACGTAAATCTATTACAGAAATCTTTTTAAATTGATGAACTCTTTCTTTTACAAAATATTATATTATTATGAAGAACCTGAAACTTTAAGAAAAATGCAATTTCAACACAATGTTTTAACATGAACTTGTATGCAAATAGGAATAAGTCAATTTTTCTTGGAAAATCCTGCACTCGGCTCCACTTTTCTCATTTTTGACATTTTTCTGATGAGGGTGTCACGGTCAACCGTCAAAACAATCATCCTTTAAGAGCGTTTGGAAAGAGTCAAGTCTTCATTTGTGCTGCTTTGGTGGGAGGGGCCACGTACAGAGACACTGGAGACCAATATTTTAATTAAAATATTTAAGTTGAAAATCAGCCAAGGGCCAGATTAAAGGTCTTGGAGGGCCGGATCTGGCCCCCTGGCCTTATGTTTGACACCTGTGCACTAGACGGTTCACAAAAACCCCAGAAGTGCGAGTCCGGGCACCAGCCGATCAGCGAAAAGCCATACATTCTGTGTTGTCAACGATTCCTGAGATCAAGCATTTAAAGCCGGAACAAAGAGAATGTTTGGTGAATTTGAATGGGATTTGGGAAAAGCTTAATATACCAGTTAGCCCCGTTAACGGTGCATTACATACGTCAAGACCAAATAGCAGTGACTGCTTAAATAAAAAAGTACCCGCCTAAAGTCAAGCGAACGCATCCTAACGCTGCGAGGTCAGACAGTTTCCACAAAGTGAAACCGGCTGATGAATCAGGCTATTAACATTATAACATAGATCTGAAAATAGCGTAATATCGGCTCTTTAACTCATGTAATCATGCTTTGATTACAATAAACTGCAAACCAAAAAAATAAAAACAACTACTAAATTGCATAAATGTACATCCACATGTTCTCAGTAATACCTGCTGGGTTTTCATGTGTTTGAGTGAGTAGCTGGTGTGATATTGACAAGGCGACCTTTATCAAATAGGTTTTTCTTGTAGAGTGTTTTGCTTCCTTATAAAGCACCTATATTTTCTGATCTATGTTATAATATTGTTTTTTCATCAAACACTCCCTACAGGAAGTCCTCCACTGTGTTTTAAACTCTGCTTTCACTAAAACAACTGGATAGGAGCTTTGGAGATGTAGACAGATAAGAAGGGTTTCTAAAACATGTGTGAATGAAACAAAACACAACTCTACGTATGTTTTTGAGGAGGTAACAACATTATAACATGGCTTAAAGCTCACAAAAATCCATTTTAGGACCTTTATTTACAAGAGAGAGGACATAGGGATAGTTGTAAAATCTGCTAATTAGAAAACACCTTATATTTCTCTTCATCAGTTAGTCATTATTTATTTATTTTTTGTTATAAAAAACAGAATCTTTAGTGTAGGGATGAACACTTTAGCAAAACAAAAATCTATATAGTTTGACTTCAAAATCATAAGTTAGTTTTGTACTTTTATAATTTGATTATTGCAAAAAAGTATTTTTCAGTTCTAGTAATCCTTATTTATGCTTTCAATCCATATTACCTCTTTCCATTTTGACTCCATTCCCAATAAACAAATAAACACATTTTCTAGGAGTACATCGGTGTAAAGAGTACCCATTCATAGTACTCACTGTGAGCATCAGGCCCAGAGTGCAGTTGGAGGTACTGCATATCTTTGCTGTGCAGTTGGATGTTGAGTTTTTGGAGCGAGTTGTCTCTTTGTCTCAGAGCCGCCTCCAGACCCAGGATCCTCTCCACATGTTTCTCCACCAGACTCGTCTGAAAACACATGAAAATACAGCTCATAATCTCCACTCAGTATGTTTGTCATTATTTAATACAATCAATATGTATTATAAAGCAGAGCAGATTAAGAAAGTGAGAGCGTAATCCAGAGTTTTTATGTAGTATTCCAAATAAGGCCACACTACAACAATAATGAGCAGTAGGATTATGGTGTTAAAGTTTGAACTTCTTCTGATCTATGAAATTGCTACCAACTTCTTACAAGTAGAGTTCCCTACAATATGTCAAGTGTACTCAAATGTACAAATCATGCTCAGTTGTCCTCGGAATTGTCCTCAGAAGTTAATACATAAAATATTCTTATTATAGCGCTCATACTATTTGTGTGTGATAACTACATAGGCTTACCTCCTCCCTAATATAATAAAACATGTTCATTAAGTTATATAAAGATTTTCCCAGACTTGGGACTGGCTCAAAGTGTACTCTGGTACTGATACTGTTAGGATAAATAACTAGGCTTAGCTATTTTGTATAATCACTTCTATAGTTCATTATTGTACCGGGGTCATTTGAAGATAAAGGCCTTGATCACAGCTGTGAGACTCATACATATATGTCAAGACAAATGCAGGTTATTCCAATCTAACAGCAAACTAACTAAACAGGACAAGAACTACTGATAAGGATGATATCATGACTTGTTAGCCAGATAACACTCCGGATGGAACCTTGCTGTTATCATAATTTTTTATTATTATTCTCATTTGTTTGTCTATTGTATGTTTTATTTCACTGTTCAGCACTTTGGTAAGATTTGGCTGTTTTAAATATGCTATACAAGAAAATTTGATTTGATTTGATTTGATTGGACTATGCAATGTGCCAAGAGGTCTGGCTGGCCCGTGCACCAATGAAGAGGCTCCAAGTCTAAACCACAGTGTCCTTCCACTATAGTTTGCGTATTAAAGGCTAAATTCAGACTACAGGGCTTAACGCTTAATTCGGATTTTTTTGTGAAGTTCGATGTTTTTGCGAGGTCATTCACATTTCCAATTAACTGCAACTTGTATGTGATCTCCAGTGTGAACAATAAACAGCCCAAAAGTGTCCCGCATGCGCAATGGAGGACACGATGATGTCAACCACAGCGAGTGTGCTCTGTGTTTACAGAAGTTGTCCAAACATGGACGCTGCATTGAGCACCTGGAAATTTTAAAGTTCCTCTTGTCCCGGAGCCAGAACATGAACAACTTACTTGTTTTAAGGAGGAGATTGAGAAGGAGAAGGACGAGGTTTTTGGCCATGGCGTTTTGTGGGGCAGTCCATTGAAAGGAACGTGTGGATGTGGAGACGTAGCCAAGAGTGGTATGATAACGATGTTCTTCACTTCAGTTCATTAACAATTTTCACCTACTTCAGCTCAGAATAGTGACATTTCTGGCTTGTTGATAACGTGTAGGTGGGATGAATGCTCCTTGGCCGTTCAGACTGAAGTCGCGTGTCAAAAGATCGGATATGTATCGCTTTTAGGACCACATATCCAAGTGTCTTGGGTCGCATTTGAAAAAATCTGATCTGTGTCGTTCATACTGTCATTAAAAGATCAGATACAGGAGCACAGGGGCCAAAAAATCAGATTTGGGTCACTTCAGGCTGCAGTCTGAACGTAGCCAAAGTCATTGTATAGGCATAAACACTGAGTCTCTGCATGGGAATGTCAGCACAGACTCCTAGTACAAGTATGACAAGTGTAATTTTTATCTAAGCAGAAACTAACAAACACGAGAGGAAAAGGTCGTTTTTCTCAACAATAATTTCTTCTACATGTGTCTCTAAAGGTGAAATGTTGAGGAGCTACCATGGTGACACAATACACACATTAGTAACAGAGAGAAATGTTGTAAGCTCGTCTGAAAACTCATGAAAAAATACAAAGCCTCAGGAGCCTGTGATCAACACGAGCGGTCATGGTTCTGTTCAGCAACAATGGTGAGTGCAAGTAAATGAAAAACTGCTGCCTAATGCTACAGATCTTATATGTATGAGAGACTTGTTTAAGAGCACAAATCAGCTCCAGTTCCTAGTTCCAGCTAAATCAGTTCTTCATGGTCAGATTGTTTTGAGTAACAGAGCTTCACACCCCCAAGGAATGTTAATGTAGTCAGCTATATCTCTTTCGTTTCTCTTTCCTAGATGACTTAAACTGAATTATCCCTTATCTGTGTAATAAGTACTTGAATGTAACTACTCTAAATATAAAGGTCTGTACTCTAAACTTTAAGATCCATAAAGAGCTCTTAATCAGAAGTGTTCTCAAATCCAATGAGCAGAAGTCAGAGTTCGGAGCAGGGACATGTTAATGAGAAGAGCTTCAGTCTGGAGGCGACATCGACCCTGTGTCACTTGGCCACCATCCGTCAGGCCCGGACTAAACCCCGTCCCTTTAAATCAGTCCAGATCTCATCCCTTTAAATCTGTCCAAACACAAAACTGCTGAGTCTGCATCCGTGGTGGAAGAAGTACTCGATGTTGTTAACTATTAAAACTACAGATAATGGAGCAAAAAAAAAAAAAAAAACACTCACAAAATGTACTTAAAGAGTAAAAAGTAAAAATATTTTGTGCATATTTTGAGGTATTATGAGGCTTCAAATGTCTTGACTTTGAGAAAGATTTGTGCTCAATTTTGAAAGAAAGAACTGCATCAGTACTTTTTTTTCTAGCTATTTTTGTTTTTATTTATTTTCTTTACTTTTATATATTTTTATTGGCTCAAACTACAAATGTGTTAAAAATGAACCCTCAGACTTTTCAGCAGGTGTCAAATTATAATAAAAAATGCTTTTACTTTTCAGTTCTGTTGCAAAATGTAGTGGATTAGAAAGTACAGATATATCCTCTCAAATGAAATGAAGTAAAAGTAAAAGTACAGATATCCACATTTTTTACTTATGTACAGTACTTACATTCCACTAAGAGGAAATCACAAACATTATATAATAAATGTGAGCTTCAGTCTGTCCACCCATGGGGACCTACCTGATCTGGATCGCATTTAAAACTGCACTGTGTGGGAAAAGCGTTTAGTGATCTTTGCAAAGTTCAAAAAGTAATAAAAAAGTTTGTATGAAAAGGAAATTACTTTTTAATGGGTTTGAGGACAGAAATAGTAAAGTGAGCTAATGTAGTATGTCTAATGTTCCTTGTCATGTGCGCAGCCAGAAATCTGAAGTGAGTCTTAAAAGGATCCACCGTCATATTTTAGTCAAACAAATGAGCATTTTACAGACTGTCTCCAGTGTAAATATGTTCATTTTGTTATTGATTATTTGCATCTGATGTCATCAATATTCACTGCTGATGTGATTCTAACAGTAGGCATGCTCTGTCTGAGACTTTGTTTGACTTTAATCTGTTTTACCACAATCTGACCAGAAAGAACTCACTTAGCTGAAACTACAACACATGAGCTGATTTTTACTATTAAACATGCCCCCCTTATTGAGCACAGGCTCCTGAAAATGTGTTTTTAAATCCATTATGTATTTTTCTTTCATCTAAAAACTTTTATGGCAATGTTTGATAATGTGTGCATTGTGTCTCCATGATAATTGATGACTGATTCCGTCATACACACACGTAGACAGTGTTGGAAGTAACGCATTATAAAAGTAAAGAATTACTGTAATGCATTACTTTTTGCTGTAACGCAGTAATGTTTGGCATTACAGGGAAAAAATTGTGATATTTTATTCAGTACAAATGTCAGTAACACGTGTTACAATGCTTTTTTAACCTAGATTGAAGTGGTCGGTTTTTCGTTTATGTTCATACAAATAAAATCACCGCGATATTAGCTGCAGTGAAAGTTACGGTTCCGAATGTTGGGGCGGGACCAGGGGTGCGGCCACGTAGACAGTTGAGTGACCGCAGGTGAAAGGACTGGTGCAGAACTCCACGCTCCATGGGGCTAATTACAGCTGATGCCCCATTGTGTTTTGCGGACACCCTGCTCCATTAGCTCGGGGTTCTCTCAGGAGTGGTCCTAGATTCCAAGTCCTAGTCCAAGATTAGTCCTGGTTTGGTTCTGGTATAGTCTTGGTTCAGACCTAGTTCAGCTCTGGTTTAGTCCTAGTTTAGTCCTGGTTCAGTCCTGGTTCAGTCCTCCTGGTTTAGTTCTCGGTTCAGTCCTGGTTTAGTCCTCATTCATATAGGGCGCAAAAGTTCAGCATCTTCGGCCGCTGATTGTAATTTAACGATCAGCGACAGTTATTTTGGTGAGAGTAACTTAAAGTTCTGCAATAGTTGTGTAATTTCTTACATTTTAAATGCAGTAATATTGTAATGTAACAAATCACTTTGAAATGACAGTAACAAGTAAAAAATAACACATGACAGTTTTGAAATAACTTGCCCAACAGTCACTGCAAATTATCAGTCGTCTGTGCCTTTGTCTAGTCACTAGTGTGCTGTAGTCTTGATGATTTTGATATGACATGCATTTTTGGAAACACTTCTTTCTGTTTAACACAATAACACTGCAACTAAGCAACAAATGACCCCATGTTATAGCACAACTAATAGAGAAAGCAAAGGTCTTACAGAGATGCATTATGGGAGCTTTCTGGTGTTCAACACTGACCTGGACCTGACCTGGACCAAAAGACACATTTCAAACATTAATTTCTTCTTTATCGGCCAAACAACCCCGAGGCTCTGTTGCAGCTTTAGAGTCACTCCTCCCACGCTCCTCTGAAACATATAACGTATGCTCCTACACTTGTGCTTTTATTTGTGTTTAAGCAATATGGTTGCACTTCAAATATACTTCATCTTATCTTATTTTAAGGGGATTCGAAATAAGTGGCTCTTGAAACTTACAAGGATAAGTACAAGCCACAATAATTAATTAATTCAATACAGAAAAGGGCTGACTTTTAAATTACTACAAATATGAATATAGACAATTGCATAAAGCTCTATCGCTTTTAAAATAAAAAGGGATTATTCATCAGTCTCATAAAACACTTCTAATTGGACTCCAAAATCAAAAATGTTTTTCTTCTCACTCACTCCTCACACAAAAAAGTAGTGCATCATAAATAAATATTAAATATGATAAATTATGAGGCTAAGATTGTGAACTGGACCACACACTTGATTCGTTATAAATTATATCAAAATCTCCTCTTGTCTCATTCTAGTTGACCTACTCTCATTTCTGAAAATTGTATCTTGTCCCACCTTGGATATTATATTCCTTTACTGCTTATGTAACTTAAATAGTTGAAATATTCTCACCATCTTGTCCAGGTCTCTCTGGAGGTTGCTTTTCTCCAGGTGGATCTTCTCATAGGCCTGGATCACGTCCTCCAGCTGCTCCTCGCGCTCCTTCCTCTTCTGGAGCTGAAACATAATAAAGTCTTCATTTTTTCACAGTCACACACAGTGTGACAGTGATGGGCTAATCCAACATTGTCTGTAGAGGTTTTTAGAAGTGTCTCTTAAAAGGTAGAAATGGGAACACTTTTGACATTGTGATTCAAATTGAAGACTATATTTCCTCTTTATTGAAGTACTTTTGCTATCCCGCTGGTCTATTCTTCAGTTTAATAATATGGTTAGTGTCTGTGGATGCTTTAATCACATGTTGTTTGACAGAGTAGAGGGCAGATCAGGAAGTCAGTCTAATGATAGAAACGGATATAAATTAGAACAGTGTAGCTGTAAAGGGATAAGAAGTGGGAGTTTTATGTGCAAAGATATACAAATAAATAAGCCTATCAAGCAGAATCCTTTTCTGTGGAAACTGTTGCCAAGGTGAGCTGTGTTCATCAACAACAATACAATGGATGAAAAGGAACTTGGCTGTACTTGGACGGGCTTTTCGAGCAAAGGAATCTATAAATATGAATGCAGATAATAGTTTTAATTAATGGTAGAAAATTTGGAAAAGTTGGTTCAGCTAAAAAGAGTTATACAAGTCTCCAAAAGTTATCAATAATTATGTTATTCAAACCATATTCAGCATCCTATATCTAATTATCAACAACAGATTATTGGGTGCATTGAGACTGGATTTACAAATAAAATATTAGTATTAAAGATGAACTATGTAACTTATTTGATGTTATCGCTTCATCTGAATGTTTCTGTGTATGGCATTAAACTTAAACCCTGCACTGATTTTTAAAAGGTGTTTTACTATACCTTGAAAAAAAAACATAAGTTTTAGTGTGAATCGTTTCACAGATCAGACCTGTAACTTTTAGATAAATAAAATTTATAAATAATAATAAATAATTCCATACTGTGGAACATTTAAGGCAAATGAGTAATGTCTCTAGGGACACAAAAAAGTCACATACATCCTTAAGTTTGATTAAATAACGACATAGAAATCTATTCAATCTATTAAACAGCTTTTGCATTTTAAAGAATGTTAAATTAATTATCACTCAGTGGATATTCCCTCAGGCCTAATGCAGAGATGTAAGCCAAGACGACTGCCAACACTTCACCATTTTAGCACTTTGTTTTACATAAGGGGTACTTAGTGTATGTGTTTGTTTTATGTGGGCACAGCGGCTCAGTGGATACCACTCTTACAACAACAGAGTTTCAGGTGCTCTCTGTGCTCTGTGCTCTGTGCTGTCTGTGCGGAGTTTGCATGTTCTCTCTGTGTCTGTGTGGATGTACTCTGGGCACTCAGGATTCACAAACTCATAAGAATCCATCTCGGAGTGTGCCCACTTTATAGGCAGGGGGACCAATCACGTCACAGAACTGAGGTTTGTGCAGAAGCTACAGGCGAAGCACCCAAACAAACCAAAACAAACATGGCAACACCAACAGATGTACTTCAGCCTATTTTAACATCAATACAGTCTATTTTATTTGTGAAAAATATGCAGAAGGTAAGCACTTTTTTCTCAAATGGATGTAGCAAAAGTTTGAATTTTTCGTCTTGTTCTGCTGTTGTGATGCTTCGACAATCAAATTCATATAGTTGCCATGATGCGCCACATTTTCTGAACACTTTCAGTAGCCATCCCACATTGATAATGTGCAAAACTGAAATGCCACACATGTCAGCCAGGTATGTACCTGGCATACCATACCTGGTATGAGCCAGGTTACAGGTTTCTCCCATCAACCCAAAACATGCTCAATAGTTACAATTCTAAGGTAGTCTCCTGACTAACTCTAGTCTAGTCCTGACTCTAGAAACATTATCATGCAGATGAGTCCCTGAGATACGGTGGTGTATTGCTATCACTCCCCAAAAAATATTTCGGCTCAGTATCACGTAATTACGTGAAAAGTTTCACGTTATAACGTGATATTTTTCACGTTATAACGTGAAATTATCACGTTATTTCATTATATGAAATTATCACGTTATTTCATGATGTGGTATTTTCACGTTATAACGTGAAATGATCACGTTATAACGTGATATGAAATTATCACGTTATTTTGTGATAAGCATTTATCACGTTATTACATGATATGAATTTATCACGTTATTTTGTGATAAGCATTTATCACGTTATTTCATGATATATTCACGTTATTACGTGAAAACATCAATTATGGTTTTGTGTGATTTCATTATAAGATCAGCCACAGCCAAACCACGCTTCCCTCGGTCCAGTCAACTCCAGCCTGAGCATGGCCCACGCTGAAAATGTGGATTCTCCACTCTTGAGATTACTTCGGGCTCGTGTTGTCTCCTTCGCATGAAGCAAGATCGTGTAAGTGTATTTTACTGTTTCGTCCCCAAGTTGTGTTGTCGTACGGTAGCAGAATGCTCTGTAAGCAACTGCTGAATATTAGAGCTGGAGCGAGTTGTTCGCTGTGGGTAGAGCTGCTAAAAGTACCTAGTCTGTTTGCAATTCTGTTACAGCTCCTAAGAATTAGTTAAAGACAAAAGCATTCATTTGACACATTTCGGTGTTTCCAGTTATTTATGAATAATGACCATAAAACATTGTTGCCTGTATGCACTCAGACATAGACAGTGTAAGAGAAGGTTATTCAGAAAATGTGGTGTAGTTAGCTAAGCTAAGCCCCGCTTCAACTCATCTGAGCCCGGCCTGGGCAGGGGACAGCGCTCAGGTCCCTGTGCTCCTCCGGTTCAGGCCGGGCTCAGATGATCTGGAGCGGGGAGTGGTTAGGTGCCTCGGCCTGAGAAGCGCTTTTCTCGAGAAGAACCAAGTGCACGGAGGCTCAGAACAGTAACGAACCAGACCGGATTCACGCTTCTGTCCGGATGCTTTACTCCACCTCAGAACCAGCCGCAACGCTACACCGGAGCAACCCGCACGGACCTAGAGTTCACTGCGCATTCTCGCTTTCCCCGCACGGAACCAGCGCGCAGAGGACGGCACGGAACCGCTCAGCGATGTCTTTACTGCTGTTGGCTGCTGCTGTTACCCGAACTCAGAGCTTCTGGGCTGATGTGCAGCGAGTTGTGTACAAAGTTGTAGGCTACATGTGCTGTTTTATGAGTTTATGATGATAACTTGGGATGAGGACGGCCGTGGTGTTTTATGGTCTTTATTCATGAAGAACTTGAAACACCGACATGTGTCAAACGAATGCTTTTGTCATTAACTATGGAGCTATAACAGAATTGCAATTTTAGCAGCTCTTTGCCCACAGCGAACAACTCGCTACAGCACTCGTTCAGCAGTTGCTTACTGAGCATTCTGCTATCTTGAGGACGAAACAGTAAAATACTCTTACAAGATCTTGCTCCATGGGAAGGAGATAGTGTTCTGGTACACCACGAGCCCAAAGAAATCTCGAGAGTGGAGAATCCACACTTTCAGCCTGGACCATGCTCACGTTGGAGTTGACTGAAGGGTATGGAGTAAGAAAGCTGTCAAAAATATTCGTGCGCGTAAAATAGAAATCCGTGCGTATTTGGGAAATCCGTGCATATTTGGCTGTAGTTGCGCATAAAATAAATATTTGTAAACTCTCAAATGACTCCAGTCGTATATTGTGTGTATTTTATCCATCAGAATACGAATTGAAAAATTACGACGTCATGAATTACAATCACGAAATGAAAATTTACGATTACGCTTTCATCAGTACGAATACGAATTCACAGACGGAACTTTACTGTCAAAAATACGTCATCACTTCACAAACATTATTCATCGAGCAGAAGAAACATCGATCAAGATCAAGACTGCGCATGCTCAAGTTTGTAGCAGAGGGTAAACACAGAGTAATAGCACAAGAAGCTACAACAGCGACCAACAAGTGGGTTAATTAAAATCTATTGTAAAAATGTCTTGAATTCGGGAACCGAACGCTGCTGTATAATATTGTGTAGAAACACCTCCTTTGAACGGGAAATTGCACCTATATGTTAGATAACATAGTGGTAGCCAGTTGGCTGACATCCGACGTAACGTTATCCCAGGGCTAATTAACAAATATCGGCGTTCTCTGTATGTTTAGATTAAAACATTCACGGCTACAGCCACAGCGAGCATCAGTCAGTCTTAACCTTCATCTCAGCTACATTTCAGACAATGGGTTATACATGAGTTATAATGGGTTATAATTAGCAAATCCATCCACGTTACAGTGACGTTATACTTACCGGTAAATACTGTAAACATACCAAGGTGTTGCCTGTAAACACGAACATTAATTGTTGCTGGAAGCTGCATTAAACTGTAATGTGTAACATTTCATTGGCTGTGACGTCGTAACCAGGACAGTTTGGTAGTGTTTGGCGTAAACTGGGACATTTCAGCGTCCTGAGGAACTTTTGGTGGCATTTCATGCGAGAAATGCAGCTGAAGTGAAGACTGACTGATGCTCGCTGTGGCTGTAGCCATGAATGTTTTAATCTAAACATACAGAGAACCTGATATTTGTTAATTAGCTGCGTATCTCGCGGACCCGCCCAGGACCCGTTTTGGATCCGCGTTCAGAACCGGGTTATCTGGCCCGGATCTGCTGCGGTTCTGCCACGGATCTGTTTATTATGTCGTTAGGAGCCTAAATGTGCTTCAGATTTAATTCTGATCCACTTCCTACTGACCTAAATACGCACAGCAACATTTGCATTGAAACTGTACATAAAAGACCTTTTACAGCAAGTATCACAACTAGGATGTAGATGCTTACATTTAAAAACATGAACCTCAACAACTCAAAGTTGGATCAGTGATATTCTAACATTAAATCTCATTATTTAACAAAAGAAGCAGCAGATTTTTACAGTGTAAACGATGTTTATTTTATTCATTTATTACAAATCTTAGAACATGAGTAATTATTATTAACGGTATAGGACTGTATGCCCTTTGAGTTAACCAATGCATTGTTCTAAAAATGAAAATTACAATTTGCAGTCTTTACTAAAATAGTTCATATTAAGCAAAGTTTAAAAAAAAAGCAAAAATACAAATATAAGCCATATGAGTAAAAGCATGGACAGATGAGAGTAGCCAAATATCTTATTCTTAAAACTTAACTTTTACTTCTGATCAATGTGCAGGGGCTCCTTTTGGGGACACTCAGCAGAAGAGCGGTCATCTGGGGAAAAGAATATAAGTTTTGGTTGGTTAGCTAATGTTATCTGTTGTTAAAAGTTATGCCTTACATTATTGTATTAACGCACCGACATGATTGCACTTTAGTCTTAAGAGTCAACACACTGCACAAATAATAATAATCTGTGGTTAAAAACACAACCAGTTCAGACACCGGTGTCACAGTGGCTCCACAGCCGAGGGGAGAGCTTCAAGAGCGGTGTCCAGCCAGAACCGAGCCCGTTAGCAACAACTAATGATCACAGAGCAGAGTTTTAATTCCGTAATCGTAAAAACATATATGAATATAAGTAGCGATATATAAAAATAGTATTTAGGTTGAGATTTACCTCAAGAGATGGAGTTGTCTCGACACCCAACCTCGCTTCATCACGTTAGCTGCTACTGTCGCTAACTTTACTGCTACTGCATTCATCAAAACTGATAAAACACACAATCACAGACGTACAGACATCACAATGTAACGTTAACGTTGTGTACATTAATGATGACTAATACAATTAACTTTTAAACTATTACTTACAGTTAAATCCGCGGACAACAGGTGAGTGCTCCTCCTTTCCACTCAGGTCCCGCTAACAGCTGATGAGTCAATGACGCGTCCGCAAAGCGAATCTGAACCGGTTTAGCCGCGGATTCGCTCATTGATAGTACAGCCAATCCGCAAAGCGGACTGACTGTGGGGCGAATTTGGGGGACCGAAAGCGAATCTGCTGCGGATCCTAATGCTATCAGGGTCCTTATATCACGAAATAACGTGATAATTTCATATCACGTATTAACGTGATAATTTCACGTTATAATGTGAAAATACCACATCACGAAATAACGTGATAATTTCATATCATGTAATAACGTGATAATTTCAATCATGAAATAACGTGATAATTCCACGTTATAACGTGAAAAATATCACGTTATAACGTAAAACTTTTCACGTAATTACGTGATACTGAGCCAAAATATTTTTTGGGGAGTGAGAGCAATACACCACCGTACTGAGAGCTGCATGCGTGTACCTTATAACTTAAGGTATAACTTATAACTTTCAATATGGCTTAAGATACTTTTTTTGGTCCAGATCATTTTTCATTGTAGATTTACATTTATAATTTTACCATGAATCTGGCACAGAACAGAAGGATTTTGTTGAATCTATATTTGTCCTCAGTGGTTGGTCCAAAATGCGTAGGAAGCCTTATGGCAAACACATAAGCAGACTCTTGGACGACAAGTTTGGTCCCAATTATGTTTAATGTTAAAAATAAAGTCTGTGCTATGGTCCCATGTTACAGCAGCGCTAACATACATTATCCTTAAACACATTAAGACTGCATTGTGCTTAGACTGCTCATTTTAATTAGCCTTGGACACTTCTGCTGTACTGTATCCACAAGGACTGACCTCATTTAAATACTGCCAAGTAATTTAATAAAGCTTTTATGATTTCATGTTGGATTTCAACATGTTTTTTTTTTTTGTTTGTTTGTTTTTTTGTTTTTTTTGTTTTTTGGTTGTTGTTCCCAGACAAAGAACTAAACAATTTCTTTGGCCAAAACATTGCACCTTCAGTGTAGAAATGGATTTGATATAAAAACAACAAAATGGAGAAATTGTTTATTTGTTGATTATATTGGTGCCAATCTGATGCATGCATGAATAAGGAGGACTGCATCAGGAAGAGATATGAAACAAGATTTTTATATTCTGGTGCCAGAAAATATGTGTGAAAGGAAAACAAACTTTAAATGTGAAAACAGTAAAGTTTGTTCAGTTCATTTGGGTAATGGGATTGGAGAAAACGTATACTTCAACATATAACTTCTTTTACCCAAGATAAGTAATAGTTTGGTGATTTAATTGTTGAGTCTGAGAAAATTTGCACTGTTTCTCAGTCTCATGTCATTTTTTCTCATTTTTATGTGTAAGCAGCATGTTTTGTTTTGTTTTTTTTCTCCGGGAGACCGGATACAGCTGCAGATCCACTCATCTTTCAAAACGATTTTCAAAGCATGTGGTTCTGGCTGGTCAGGTAAAAGTTTTGATGTTTGCCCAATCAGCTTTCAGCAGTGAATAGAAAATATGTTTACTTTACAACCAGAAGATTTGATTCATATTAAAGATGCACTGTTTGGTTGGGGGTATGCCACTTTCAAGTTTCTATGGAGATGTCATTGCTCTGCTTTGAATGTTCCAAAGTATGACATAAAACAGCTCTACCTTACATTTATTCAATTACAGGTTTATAACTCAACCCTCCTCCCCCCCAAAAAAAACAGTGAGTGGGGTTATCTCTCCACAGATCTGACCTGTAACGTGGTCTGGTGTGGTCTCCATGAAGATAGAAAGGTGAAACGTTCCAGACAAAGCAATAACATTTCCATGGAAAAAGGCATTTGACAGACCCTCCACAAGAAAAGTTACACAATGCACCTTTAATATTCATTCTTACCTGTTCAGTCACTATATACACAGACTTACTGATTTGTGATAATCAGTACCTCATGTGTCAGGACGTTGACCCTCTCCAGAAGATTCCCATTTTCCGACTGAAGCAGAGCCGTCTCTTTGCTCTCGAAGGAACAGTATGAGTTATCTTCTCCAAACTCACTGATCATCGGAAACTGTGAACGAAAAACAAAACAAAAGCTTAGATGTGATTAAAAAATAAAGTAACAGTGTGTATTTCCTGACTCATTATTATTCCTGTTTTGTTGCTTGATTACATTTGCACTTTCTCGACGCTTTCCCCACAAATGTTGGTAATTTTTGATGAGCTCACACTGGCATTATGAAAAATTCAGCTCATATCAACTGTAACTGTGCGTGCCCCAGATATGACTGTGTAGTATTGATGGCATACACTTATTTTTAATACATCAGAGGTTTGTGCTACGGCTGCAGAAAAAGGAAGTAGCAGTATCATAGAATTATACACTATATTATGTTCTGAAACCTACATAAGGTGCCACAACAGCAATTTCTAAGTAAAAAAAAATAAATAAATTAAGATGTACTGTGTAACTTTTCTGGTGGAGGGTCCATCAAATGCTTTTTTTGTGCTTTATCTGGAATGTTTACAGTTACAGGTCAGATCTGTGGAGAAGCGACCCCGCTCACCCCACTGCTTGTTTTTCTAGATATTCATGAGTGATAAAACCACCTGTAATTGAATAAATGTAATGTAGATCCTGTTTAATGTCACAGTGTGGAACATTCCAGGCTGAGCAATGTGACAGACACCAAACTAAAAAGTTACATAGTGTACCTTTAAGTGTCAAATTGTGTATTATAATAGTGTGGAGGTTCAAGCAAGATTCTTGTTTGCGGTAAACCAGGGTTGTCAAACTCAAATTCACAGAGAACCAAAATTAAAAACTGGGACTAAATCGTGGGCCAAACTAAACATTTATTGAAAAATTTCAACAACACCTGCATGTTTTCTCTACTTTAGAGATATGTAATGTTAAACCTTTTTTTATTAAAATAAATGTTTAATAACAGTTTTGCTTAAACACTAAATCCAGAATAAGCAGAATATAAAATAATAATAATTAAAAAAATGTAGATAAACAATGTCTCCATAGTTTGTATCAGGTGGGCCAGCTCTAATACATAATGATATGATCTCGCGGGCCAAAAATAATTACATAGCGGGCCAAATTTGGCCCCTGGGCCTGAGTTTGATATGACTGCAGTAAACAGTAGCTTAGTTCACATTAAAATGTTTGCACACTTTGTTTCACTAAATCTAAATGCAGACAATTTTAAGTTTACCTTCATTATTTTAGAGAACTACTGCCATCAAAATTCATTTTTCATTCGATCATTTATTTTAAACACTGCAGGCACAAAACATACATACATATATTATATTAATATATTATGTAATCATGTTCATTAGTGGGAAAGAAGTTTTAACAATTTATTTAATTCCACTCCTTTACTTTACATTTAATAGCAGGATTTTACATTTGATGCTTCCTGCTGTGTATCTGCACTAAATACCAGACTTCTGCATACAATTAACTTCACAGTAATCTCTGCACTTCTCTCTCTGTAGCTTTTGAAAATGAGCTTTTTTATTTATTTTTGAACTGCCTTAGGTATATAGAAAGTTTTATTTCCACACTCATATTGTTCCATAATCTCCCACCACTTGAAGAGACGCAAACTCTTTTCCTACTTATTTTATATTTTTAATTAATCATTGTGACAGTAATCTTGATATCATGACAAAAGTACTATCTAACCTAATTTGTTTCTCTTGAGATAACATCATACATATACAGTATATTTAACATGTGAAGCTAAGATATTTTTGCATTTCAAACCTAAAATGTGCATAGAGTGAGAGTCTTGCAGTTTGTGTGAGTTCATTTGGAGGTGAGGCACAGTTACATAAACACATGTTGGATCAATATGTCCTGGGCCTAAAGCTCTGAAGGACTCTGGGGCCTGCAAGGTTTTACATTCCTCAGGTGAGCCTCATTAATATTACATAATATATACGACGAACTTATCTGATTTATGGAGAAATATAGATGGTCTATAATGGCTGGGCTTCAAATGATACTGCAACGCTCTGGTTAAATACTGTTTACAATAAAAATTACATATGATTTCTATTTTTAATGTGTTGATTTAGAAAATAAAATTGTGTAATATAAGCCCTATATATTCATTTTTACTTGTTTTGTCACTACAGACGATCTACAATAAATTCTGTGGTTCAGCATTTTTGAATTATCCTTTTTGTTATTTCTGCTTTAAAGCCCTGGAATATAAAGACCATGTATTATATGGGTTTCATATTGAATGAGTGAAAAATTGTTGAAGTAAAAACTAGGAATAGCCCAGTATCCCTGTCTTCATGTATGTGGTATATTCACTGAAAAAGGAAATTCACAAATTCTAAAACTGATCATTTAGATGAAGCTCCATTTATCACACTACACTGCAAACTGTTCAAATAAACAATAGACATTTTCCCATCTCCTGCAGTTCAACATTACAGGTCTTTACAATATTGTAATGTGATCTGAAGCCCAGTGATATTCAGCGGCGAAGCTTGTGACAGATTATACAACCATAAAGAATGTAAGAGCTAATGGGCCGTGAAATATTTAGCGTAGTTTTGTCAAGTTAGCATTTTCTGTTGGAGCAGATGCAAAGGTTAGACTGCTGCTGCTAAATGGCTGTTACAGACACGCTGATGGATAAACAGAGGACCACTTATATAACTACACACATTTACATTTAGAGTGCCGCAGGCTTTTTACACTCTTAAAGGCAGTGGAAGTGAAGTCATTTTCGGTTCGAGTACCAAACAACCATCTCGCATTCAGCCTCGCAGCTCTCTGCTCAGTTTAGCAGTGAATGTTACAGACACAGGTGTCTGCAGTGGAGACAGGAGATGAGGAAAGGGGGTCTCATGGTGCTTTTAAAGTGTGCATATTTTCTTTTTTTTGTTTATATAGTAGACATGTTTTGCTTAGATTAACTGATAAAAATTATTGAATAAACTTGAAAAAGTGTTTAATGCTGTAAAACATGTACATTTTGGTGTGGTGAGTTAAAGCTACAATCTGTACTTAGACTGACCCTGTTGTATTCTCACACATCACAAGATGATATCTACTCTACTGTAGTCTGATAGTCTGTCAACTTTGGTCTGACTGAAGAAAACCAGAGGCTCAACAAAGGCCAAGTGAAGTTTTACAGGTTTACATCTGCTATCTACTAGTGAAAAAATTAAATAGAACAGAATAAAATAAAATAAAATAAAATAAAAGGTGGTAGCTTTAGTGAAAACATGAAAGATGATTTAAATTTATTATAGAATCAATTGATCTAAATAATGAATAAAATCATATGTCTCAGTTTAAGCTGCTCTTTTTCCAAACCTAGTTTTCTTGCCGAGAACACATTCCTATTCAATTCTGCTGATGAAAGCCATATATTTGTAAAGCACAGGTGTGATGGCCCAAACAAAGCGACATCTGCCCAGCTCGCACCTGTCTCGGGGCAGATCCACGAGAAGCCGTGTGGGACAGGACGCACCCGCCAGTGAGTCAACAGCAGTCTGCAGAGTGAACTAACAGCTGTTAGCTTCAGACCATCAGGACTTTAGTCTCACTTACAGTAAACACAGGACAGGGAGGGCAAGAGGGAGACAGGGAGACAGGGAGAGAGGAGAGAGGAGAGAGGGAGAAGGAGAAGGAGAAGGAGAGAGCATGGAAGAGAGGAGGAGAGAGGACAAGGAGAGAAGGGGAAGACAAAGCAGAAGATGGGGAGAGAAGAGGAGAGGGAGAGAGAGAAGAGAGAGGGAGCAGGAAAGAGAGGAGGAGAGAGATAGAGGAGGAGAGAGAGAGGATGAGGAGAGAAGGGGAAAAAGAAAGGAGGAGAAAGAGGGAGAGAGGAGGTCTTTCAGTTAAGCATTCAGTTTTTTTGTATTAATTATGCTATTACACAATTTGTATACATTTTCAATAATACTCCCTACAACCTCTTGAGATGGAGCACAAAAAAATTACACCAGAAGCCTTAGAACTTTGCATATTTTTTTCTACCGTTTACCATTTTCATCACTAGATATGTCTTACAAATAAACAGCACCAGTTAGCTTAGTAAGTTAAATATGTGTGCTATCCAACTCCAGTCTTCTTTTGATGACTTGCTCTTCTGAGTCTCTTACGTAACAAAGCCTCTCTGTATTCTGTGTGGACCATAATGCTGCAACAGCTTGCCTCTCCTTGGTTCACGTTTGCTAGTTTTCCTCCAGAACAACAGAGTCTGACGGCTTTTGTCATTTTGAAACATTTTGTTCTCTGTAGTCATGCACACAATACTGGGACTTGTTCTTTTAGTGGACTGAAGCTTGGAGTTGGAGAAATACTAGGTTAGGTACATAACATAATTAAGGTCGATATTTCAGTTTGGGGTCTATTGATTCACTATTTTTGAAGAAAATATCCAATCAGAAAGTGCACAAATTCTGGACTTATTTTTGTTAGGGTGGTTTTACAAACTTCCAAATGGATCTGATAGCTATGTGCACTTTCAACTAGGGGCGTGGGACTGGGGGGGTAAAGGGTGCTGTTTACCCAGCACCCAGTGCAGGAGGAGCCCCCTCACAAAGTCTAGTATGCCGTTAGTTTATGTGAGCAGAGACGATTTTCAATAGATTCAGTATTTTCCTTTCTTATATTAAACAAAACCTGGAGAGAATATTTGCATTTTGACACATGAAAAGAAAATGATTTAATTCTGACCTGCCCTCCGCTTCAGTTTCAAACAAAGGCCACATGACAATATAATGAAAACACATGAATTCAGGCTTATAGCCATGACAATGACATTCAGATACTGTTTGAGTTAAAGGTGTAACTTTTCTGATGGAGGATCTATCACCTGCTTGTTTGCTAAAGCAAGCCTAACCTTGCACAGCAAGATGGATTTTCATCATATTCATAAGTTCACAAACTCATAAGAATCCATCTTAGAGCACACATGCCGTACGGTTATTCTGGTGGTCGCACCACTGAATGTGGACAGATGACAGACATACTTCAGCCTATTCTATCATCAATACAGACTATTTTGTTTGTGAAAAACATGCTGAGGGTAAGCACTTTGTGCATTTGTGGACAAGGATGATATTTTTTTTGGCTTGTTCCTGCTGTTGTTGATGTTTCAACCAATCAGATTCAAATATTCATCATGGTGTTTTCTGATAGCTGTTGGTACTCGTGTCAACCTGGTGTGAGCCAGGTTAAGGCGAGCCCGCTCACAGTAAGAATGCCTATTGAGGTATTGTTGGGGAATGAAAACTGAATAAATGCAACATAACTTTAATGTTTGAAGAGCTCATGTTACACTATTTTGAGATATTATAATGTTGTTTTCTCACCACAAACATATCTGGAGTTGTTTTATTCACACACTTAACACATGTATGCACACCTGCATATTTAATATAAGACCTTTAAGTGTGGAACATTCTAGGTGGCAGACCCTCCAACAGAAAAGTTACATAAAACATCTTTGAGTGAATTTAAACCATCAAGAATGTAGTAAATCAACGCCTAATCCTCCTTTTGTCTATAATTTCTCCTTCACTACGCTTTCATATTTTATATTATCTAATCTGGTGTCCTCAGGCTGTGCGCTGGTGTGTGTGTGTGTGTGTGTGGGAAGAGGGGGGGGGTGTGTGTGTGTGTGTGTGTGTGTCTGTGTGTGTATCTATATGTATGTGTGCCTGTGTGTGTGCCTGCGTGTGTGCTGGTGTGTGTGTCTCCTCTTGTATCCCTATTGCTGCGTGGTGCTTTTCTGCCTCACCAGTTCAGTAATCCATCCAAAAATGCTTTGATTACCACCACATTCGAGCGTCTCCAGCCAAGCAGAAATGTTCCCAATGATAGTGATATTGGGAGAGCGCAGTAGATGTTTTGGTGCGTTTCTTGCTCTTGCTCGTACATAAATTCACATGATCCAATATTTGAGGCTTTTGGAATGGATTCCATAGGCTTCACAAGGACACAGCGTTATCCATTGTTTTGATTTATTGCTCTCCCTTGGAAGAAAATGTCACTTAATGTTTTTATTTTTTATGTGGTAATATGCTTTGATAAATATTTCAAAATAAATTATAATACTAAACTAAAAATAAAACAGATGATGCTGTACCTTTCCTAGTAGTGGGCCTGCTCCCTGCTTTCCTCCTTGGAGATATTATTGCATCACTTACAATGTTTGACACTTTGGCTTTAAACTTATGGAGACAAGCAGGTGACAGCATAGGCCAAGGTACAGGTCAGATCTCTGGAGCGGTGACCTAACTCAGAGTAGGAACACATGTTTTTTCAGGAATCTTTTAGCAATAAAAGCACTAGTAACTTCAATTTTTATTTCATACTGAGGGCCTGTTTACACGAGAACGCTTGGAAGTAAAAACAACAAAATATTTTTTCAGAAGTGCCTTTCGTTTAGATGGTGATGGCATTTTCGGGGCTTAAAAAAATGCTAAATTCTGAAACCACCCTCCAGAGTAGAAAAGTTGAATACGCTCCACCGTAGCTTTTACACTGCCCAAGACGCAAAACTCTGTTCAGATCTGCTCACGTCGCGTACGGGTTTACATCACATACATACAATACACAGAAACCTGGCATGCATACCCAGTCGAATTCCACACACTGAAGCATCACCCTGTGCACACAGATTTCCTCCTGAAAACACTTCTCTAAATGTAGAATAAAAAGTGAAGATGCGATGCCACTTTTGCATCTTCTGTTCAGACCGTCATCATATAAATATAGCCTGATTCATTCATTCAATTCCAGGTGTTTAAGCACGAGTAGGGGTCACCTCTCCACAGATCTAATGTGTAAGGTTTCACATAAGCCATCTATTGGTGACCAAAATAAATAAATAAAAAGCTTACAGATGGTAGCTTTAAGTGTAAAGATGTATCAGATTCTACATTTGAAAAGGAAGTAATTTCCCTCTGCAGTCCTTTATTTAATACTGATTAAGAAGAGAGCTTTATCCTTTTCTTATCTATCTGAGAACATTCTGGCCTGTTCTATTCTCCCCTGTGTATGATGTGGAGCTCACTTTTGTTAAAATGCAGATCAGTTTCTATGTTTAAATAATGTCCCCACAGGATCAAAGCTGGCCAGAGTCCTCCTTGTGTTTATATCTTTGTGTACAGTCTCATTGCTTATGAAAGAGAGCTCACTCAGCCCGACTGCACTGCCCAAAATAGACTCCACAGATTGTTATAGGCTATTACAAGGGCTTGTCATTCACTTCTGTGCTCACTGGTCAATATGTCAGACCAGACAGATGGAGCTGGAGCTGGCTAAATGTACCCCAGTACAAAATATTTCATCAATTAAAAGTTACAACAACGAGTTTCAGCCCCAATAAAAACTGACGACGGATTCCATTCTTTATGAGTGTCCTCATCAAAATCATACCAGGAGTTTTGTTTTGTTTCATTTACACATGTGTAACACACAAATTCTGTATATTTAGTCCTTCTCTCAAACAGAACATACTCTGTTCCACCTTGTGATGCCATGTGATAATACAGGAAGTGCTTCATACACTTCATAAAATAGAATCATTTGGCTGATAACTTGAGAACAACTACTTCATGACATTACAAGGTGGAATACTGTAGAGCAATTTGAGCTTTGCAGATGTAAACAGACTAATACAAAAAGATTACTCGAACATGTGTGAATGAAACAAAACACAACTCCGGGTATGTTTTTGATGAGAATGTTCACAAAGAATGGACTCCATCAGTTTTTACTGGGGCTGAAACTCCTTGTAATTTTTAATTAATGAAGTAACAGCATTATAACATGGCTAAAAGCTCACAAGAATCAATTTTGCATAATATAGGACCTTCAACAATAATTACTACTTGACTAATCTTGAAGTATTTACTACATGGGAACCAAATTTTTGGTCCCGACAAACAAAAATGTGTGTTCATTTTGTATAATGCTTTGACATTTGTCCCTATTTAAATCAAAGAAGTGGTTACATCAGCACAATCCCAATGAAAGGTTGATGCAGCCAAAACATTGGCTATAAACTAATCTGTAGTCCTGCCATTGTTTGAGCACACTGCACTGTTTCTTATAGGCAAAAGTGTTTGCAAAAACCCTGGAAGTGCGAGTTCGGGCACCAGACAATCAGTGAAGAGCCATACATTCTGTGTTGGCAACGATTCCCGAGATCAAGGATTTAAAGCTGGAATAAAGAGAATGTTTGGTGAAATTTATCAAGGGGAAAGACATTATTGCCCTTCTTCCTACAGGATTTGGGAAAAAAAGTGCCCACCTACCATCGAGTGACTGAATTCTAATGTCAGAGGGTTTCCATGACGTGAAACCGGCTGATGAATCAGGCTAGAAAATATGACCCAAGGACCCCACTTTGAGAACCACAGGTCTAACCAAATGTAGAGCTGAGCCATAGAAAGAGCATATTAAATGTTGCCTTGCTTTAATGTTAGCGTAGGTTTTTTATATAATACTTGATAATAAAAGTCTTCTCTCACCTTGATCTCATAAATCTTGAGTTTCCTCTTGATGCTGGTATTCTCGCGCTCCAGGCAGGACAGCCGCGTCTTGATGTCCTGATAGGCCGAGATGAGGGCGAAGTGGGAGGCGGAATACACATCGTCATTGGACACAGACGAGGAACGCCACGCCACAGAGCCGCAGTCGTCCTTCAGGCCCCCCCCTGCATCTCCTCCTCCTCCGGACCCCAACAGCTCCAGCTCGCCCCCGCCATAGAGAGACTGCATGGCTCACAGCGTCAACCTGGGACAAGCACACACACAGACAGACATCAATTATTCACAGTGTACAATAAAGAAGAGGAGACACAAGACTTGGAGTTTTTTGCATAAAGTCAAAAGGTCACAGTGTGCTAGCTGGCCGGGACGTCACTTTAAATATTTCAAAAGAGTAAGTGCATGACATAAGTGAAAGCGGATGAGACCAAGTAGCCTGATATGAACTTGATTGTGTACAAGACAGTGGAAAAGCAATTTTAGAGATGCAGACAGAAGGAAGAGCTGAAAATGTTGAAGAGCTATTTGAGGAAACAGTGTAAAGAATGAATTAGGAAAGTCACAAGGTTTTGTTTATTCTAGACCTGTCACAATAATTACTATATCGACTTGTTGTTCACAAGTACGATATATTGCTGACGTAATTATTGTAGATAATATTTTATCTAATTTGTGCCTCTGAGACAATAATCCTAAAGTAGAATTATCCCAAAAAATACTATAAATGTAAAAAATTTATGAAAAAAAAAAAAAAAAAAACAGTAACTGAAATAAATAAATAGCAGAATAAAATAGAAGTCTGCACATAAAACTTATTCATTCAACCAGCTCTAATCTCATTGTAGTTCAATAAATACTGACAATGATATTTCCTTCTGTTATGTTTTGAACAATGTTGTATGTCACTGTGTGTTGTGCTATTGTTGTATGTATATGTATATGCGTATTTATGTGTGTATGTGTATATATATATATATATATATATATATATATATATATATATATGTATGTATGTATACCAGAGGTGGGACTTCCAAGTCGTGACTTGAACGCGAGTCAGACTTGAGTAACTATATTCAGACTTGACTTGACTTGACTTGAGAAGACTTGATACTTTTCCTAAAAATATTTTATGTCCCTCCCACAAGTAACTATCTGTTACTGGAACTGAAGTACTGTGATGTGGTATCCTCATATGTACTACAGTAATATACAGTACAATACAGTAATATACAGTACAATACAGTAATATACAGTACAATACAGTAATATACATTAAAATACAGTAATACAGAGGGAATTACATAGAAAATGATCCTTCCATCTCAGTGCAGACTACATGACAAAATAACTGATATGAAGCACTTGTGAATTCTTTCTGACTGTAATGACATATAACTTCTATAAATACTCCTATATAAACCATCATATACCATGATGTTTTAAGTACAATTTAGTTTAAAAATCATATAAATTGCAAAAATCAAAACTATATTTGGTACTTTGGTTTAAAGACCTGAAATGACTTGAAGCTTAAAGCAGACGACTTGGAATTGACTTGGACTTATAGGCCAGTGAATTGAGACTCGACTTGGACATGCCTGTATTTTACTTGGGACTTGACTTGGACTTGGCGTCAAAGACTTGAGACTTACTTGAGACTTGCAGAACAACGACTTGGTCCCACATCTGATGTATACTGTATGTGTGTGTATATGTACAGTGTATGTATGTTTATGTATGTATATATATTATTTCGTTTTTTGTGTGCTTTATTTTCTACTTTTCACCTTCACTGCCAAGATGCATTATAAATATATTAAAGACACATGTTTAAAATAAAACAAAAGAATGAATGAATGACTTGATATAGTAATTATTGTGACAGGCTTAGCTAAGATAATAGAAAACAGAGTGGAGCTTTATAGATATAATGTAATGTAATAGAGGGACTAGATTTGCTGTGGTGACCTCTGAAAGGCAATAGTCAAAAATAAAACTTTTATTAAACCATAAAATTCAGACTATTAGGGTAGATAGCTCAATTAGCATAAAAGTACTTCCGTACAAAGATGACAAGGTAGTTTTATTGGTGTCATATACTTGTCCCATTTATTTAGTTGTAAGCAATGACTTTTGGCACTAAAAGAACATCATCATCATGAATACAATTTGATCAGGGCGCACTCGCACTACGGGATCTTTTTTATTGCTCTCTTCAGTTATTTCACTGACAATAGTAATCATCACTGTTATATTTGCAGAACAGCCCCTGGCCCTTTATGACTCATGCTTTTATTTTAACTGCTTAGTCACGTTTGAGTTCACAAAACACATGCACTTGTTTAAGTCACATAGTGTAATCGTAGACATCACATCTATACTCAATACCTAATCACGTCTGTCTCCTGTAAGAACAGGCCACATATTGGTTCCAATATCAGTATCATTGATATCAGAGCCTGATAGCACTATCGGTCTGATATCAAAAATGTGCCAGATATTTAAATTGATATATTTTCTAAACTGGGCCCGTCTGTGTGTGCTCCTGTGTCATTAGGCTTAGAGCGCTAAACATATGCCTGTATGTTTAACAATAATGCAGTAAATTATCTTGCATCCCATTTAAATACATTTTATTATTTTTAACTAGAATGAAATGTTAATTTGTGAATTTAAAACATAGACTCATATATCAGGCCAATATTTGCACTTTTAGCACATTGGCTTTAATCCAACAGAGGCCGATATTTTGTTTTGGTCAACTAGACATCTTATATGAATACTTTACTGTAGAAATGACTGCTCTATTATCTTGTTTGTAGCAAAACAACTTCCTGGATGAGTTTACATTAAATTCAAATTTGGAGAAAATTATCAATATTGGCCAATAGGGATGTAACAATAACTGAAATATCGCGATATCTTATTGTCAGAGTTCTCACAATAATATCATGGACCATCACAATATATCGAATTAGAAGTCTTTACTTAAATTAAGAGTCATGGTGCAGAAATAGCTAAAAGAAAAAAAATCTAAAGTTCTAAACAGTTCTAAACAATACATTTAAGTCTTAGTTCTTTGGATTAAGTCTTGTCAAGGCATTTTAAGAGGAAAAAGTAGCATATTAACAGTTTTGTTAATTTTGTTAGCATGAGAATATCGCACCGACAAATTTGGATATTGTCACATGCCTAATCATGAGCCTCCCCAAATATCATGAGCTTTCCTACGATATTGCAATAAATATCGTACAGTGAGGTTAATACTGTATCGTGAGACTTGGCTATCATTACATCCCTATTGGCCACGCTTACAGGCACTAGTCTTTAAAAAAGAAAAAAAAAACATTGGTTGATCTCTAGTTATTGGTCAGAGTAACAAGACAAATTTCGGATAGCGCATTGGTTAAAAAATCCATATTGACCTATTCTTGGTCTCCTATTCATAATTCTTCCTCCTTCCTGTACAAATGAGCCAAAATGGAGGCCACCTTCGTCTGTGCCGATGTGGCGTTTCATTGGCCTTAATAAAACATGAGCTATGACATCTTACATTCTAGTCGTGCTGTGATGAATGAGCACGGGGTTCAACTGACCATTCACTGCCAGCTTGGCCTTGGCCTCTCCCCCTCATCCCCTCCACACGGGACACTATCGGAGGGACTGTCACAAATGATAAATGACACCTTTTCGTACCACCAACGTCTCCTTACCCCATTGCACTGTGAGGACATGAAGTCATATATTGCCTGTATAGTTTTGGTTTGCGTTATACAACAAGTTGATTTGATGTATGCCGGAGAACTGGATGGCTCCCTGACTCCGAGCAGTGAGTATGAGTCAGCCATTGCCTACTGAGCTATTTTGATCTGCTCCCTTCCTCTTCGCTTTGCTGTTTTCCTGGTGTTTCTGGAGAGAGGAGAGGGGCTGAAGCCTCGAGATCCACAGTGAGCTTACAAAGACCCTCCCACATGCGCACAAGCACAAAAACAGGTCCAAAACTGAAGAGGATGAGATAAAACACAAAACATGTGTGGATCAAATACTGCAAAACACTGGGAAACTCAATATTTACACCCATTGAAAATAAGAGCAATTTTCCCCAGTTCAGTGTTCTATGATTCAAAGCTAACATTTCACAAGTTGCGAGAATGCCAGAATGCCTCAAAACATACTCAATTTATCACTGCCTTTATCAATTTCTTTTTTATATATATTTTTATATATAATTAGTTTAATTTTTATTTCAGTGGGAGTAAACAAACCTTCCTCGTATAAGGTCCTACATTATTATGACTTACCTGGAGTTGTGTTTTGTTTCATTCACACACCTTTCATTTATCTTGCATTATCAGTCTGTCTATTAGGGGTGTAACGATATCCAAGTGTCATGATACGATATTGTCGCGGTATGAACCTCACGGTACGATATTTATTGGATATTTATTGCGATATCGTGGGAAAGCTCACAATATGGTATGGAGGCTCACGATATTACGATATTAAATATAATAACAAGACTGACATTATAAAATGCTTTGACCATCATTTGGTACAACATTTATTGTCATATTCATATCAGTGACATTTTGAACAGCTTGAAAAGCCTTTGAAGTTGAAGTGCAAAATTCAAGTAACAACTAAACAAAGTTTCAGTATGACTTTGGTAAACTACAAAGCCGCACTATATGATGGACTGTGAGCATTACAGCTACAATAGTCAGGACCCTCGCGGAGTAAGACCAACAGAAGCTGAACCACATCAGCACACAAGGAGCGAGCTATTTTTTCAGAGCTTATAGTTTATGCAAATGAGCCATGTGGCTTTAAGTTTAAAGTTTAAGTTTATTACTCAATGTATATTTGACTCCTCCTCGCAGGAAATGAAAAAACAAACTTGAATGTGATGGCATTTTATATTTCGGCTCCAGTTTAGCCACTAACCTTTTAAACCCAACGCCATCCACCTAGAAAAATGGATGCAAATGACTTGCTTAATTTTCTTTGATGTATTTCTTGAGTGTTGTTGTGAGGCAGCGCTGTTTTTTGTCCTGACTTGATTTTCTGAAAACATTCTTGAAAATTTTCGGTGTGTCGACTTATCAAGTGACTTCTCATGCTGCTAGTATTTCCCGAAGTGAACTGCAGTGTTTGCATACTGTCTGTTGTTTGTCTGTCACCGTCGCAGCCGCAAAGGATTATGGTCCATGTAGTTTACTGTGCTACTG